GTGGTTAAGTTGGTCTGGGGTAGATCCTGGCCTTTTCCTGGAATTTGAGGCTAGAGCCTGGGGGTCACATTTAAACCAACACTAGGGAGTTGAGCAGCGGGCAGGTGGGGCGATGGTCAGAGCCCCTCCCTGGTGGAGGTCGTGGGGAGAGGTGCTGGAAGGTCTGGAACTGGGGGAGATGGTGGTAGGATTAGGGTTGACTCAGTGTGGGGTTCTTTGGGTGACCACATCCGAGTCTCCCTCCCAGAGCTGGAGCCAGTGAGGTTCCAGAGGTCCGGACTTGATTACTAAATGGTTTCCTGCTTCTGCTATGCTGAAGTTGTTGAACAAGGAAGTCCATATGATTGTGAGCAGTGTTGGGTCAGGTTCGTGGGTGTCAGGATCTGGGATCTGTATGGAAACACTGTCTGTTAATGCGAATGCACTTGACCCTGACCCACTCTGATCTACCCTGCACCCGGGCCTGTTCTATACCAACTCTGTTCATCAATGGCTCCTGGGTATAAATCTGTGTGCGTGTGCGCTAGATACAGCAGTGGATGGGTCTTTGTCCGCGGGTGTGTGTGACTTGTGTCCTGGGGCAGGGGCGCAGGGCCCGGCAGCACTGGACACTGGGCTTGTTGAGAGGGGGGGCGCAGAGGGCGGGACTCTTCCCCCTGCGACGCTGCGCGCACTCCCGGCGCGGAGGAGGCCGCAGCGCCACCGCCGGCTGCGCTCACGCCGCCGACACTGATCCTAACACCGCCACCGCGGCGGGGCTAAGGCCCCGGAGGAGCGCGGGTGGGAGGGGACCCTCCGACTCTGCGCAGTGCCCGCCCCGGCGGCGGCCCGGCCGCATGCTGCAGATGGTGAAGACCCTGGCCCAGTTCACCATCGCGCTGGAAGAAATGCGCGATCTGGGCCCGGCCGCCGCCTCCGGGGAGTCCGCCGGGGGCGGGGGCTCTGACACCACTGAGGAGCCTGGGGAGGCCCAGGTACCGGGAGGGGGATGGGCAGCCGGGAACCGGGGTCTTGGCCTAGGATGCCGCAGACTCAGGACAAGGGGGAAGCGTGGGCAGATGCTGAAGAGCAGGGCCTGGAACTTGGATCAGGCGCCAGGAGCCTGCCTGCCAACCCTGGGCTTGGGGAGGGCTGACATCAGATGAAGGCAGAGAGGTTGATGGTGGGGTCGACTGGCACTAAAGGTCAAGGCCCAGGACAGCACTCTTTTGTAAACTGGATCAGACTGTTGCTGGGGTACCCTGGGTCCCCAGGAAAGCCAGGCTGCCAGCCTCCCCCAGGTTTGAGGGGCCGCAGCTGTTTGTATGTACCGGGGGCTAGCCAGCATTGCTTCCCCTTTGCCATCTCCCCCACTGGAACTACGGCCCGGGGATGTCATACTATGGTGCTGTGGAAAAGGTGGTGACCCCATTCCTGCCTCCTGGAGGGGGAGGGGAGAGCTCCAGGGATGCTGCCTTGTTTTTGCATGTTTGTCTGGGCCGAGACTGTTCCATGCTCTGGGCACAATGGGTAGTAGGGCTCTACCCTGCACCTGGTGCTGTACCGTGGTGTGTGTGTGTGTGTGTGTGTGTGTGTGTGTGTGTGTGTGTGTGTGTGTGTGTGTCCGTTGTTCCAGGTCTCTGGACAGGAGAGCCTAGCTTGCAGCTGGATAACTAGGCTGCATTTTTGTCTTGACGCAGGGTATCTTGTCTTCATGATTCTCTGTGTGTGTCTTTCTTCACACCTGGTACATCAGGTCTCGGTATTTGGGTCTGATGACAGAGTTCGTTCCCCTCACCCTCTTCCACCTTCCCACACCTCCCTGGTCCCCATGGCAGGGCCCTGCCTGTGGTGAGGGGATCGGGAGGGAAGCAGGGCTGAAGGACTGGCCTGGAACAGGTGGGCCTGCCGATCTGCTTGACAGCTGCATCGTCCCTCCATCTCTCCCCCCCACACACACACACTGCTCCCGTGTCTGGACACGTGCAGGGGGTGCTCCATGCAGTGACAAGGAGCTGGCCTTGTTTTCTGTGCTTTACCTGACAGCTGAATGACAGCCCACTGTGCTCTGCGGCAGGGAGGAGGCTGGGAGAGACGGCGTTGCAGCGTCAGCTCCCTCTTCCACCCCGACCTCCCGGCCAGCAGGCCCAGTGCCAGCCCTGCCTCTCGGGAAACTTCTGTGACCATGACCCAGGTTGGGGCTGGCAGGCCAGTGAATGTGGGTAGGGGACAGTAACAGTGAGGCCCAGAGGCTGGTCTAGGTATCTTAGTAGTCAATACACGTCCCATGAAGTCTTAGTGAAGTGAAATGAGAAGGGACAGTGAGGACCACTGTGAGAGAGGGAGGGAGGGAGAGAGAGAGAGAGAGAGAGAGAGAGAGAGAGAGAGAGAGAGAGAGAGAGAGAGAGAGAGAGAGAGAGTGGTGTGTGAGTGTGTGTGAGTGTGTGTGTGTGTGAATACCTCCTTGTTCACCTAGCTTGTATGGTACCACGAGCAAAGGGTTATTATTCCATTTCAAAAAGGAGTATGGAAACAAGGCCACCAGAGTCACAGACAGGACGAGTAGAACTGGAGAACTCTGTGGCCTGAGGTTGCCGGTCATTGTAAATGGGAACGTAGGGTACCAGGGCCCCAAGACTCCGCATGAGGTGGGTAAAGAGGCTCTGGGCCTTGCTTTGCCTGTCACTGGCCATATTGTCCTAGGCGAGTCTTGTCACTTCTCTGACTTGACTCATCTGTGCAGTGGATGACAACACTTGTGTCCTGGAGCTGTGTAAGGCTAAAATGAGATTGCACATACTTGCAAGGTACTGAGGTGTTCCAGGAGCTGCCAGAACAGGAGGGCGCAGGAGACCCAAAGCTGCTCTAAGTTTTTAAAGGCCCCAGAAGCACCCAGTGTAAGTGGCCTGCTCGTAGTTGGGATCTCTGAGGTATGGCCTGAGGAACAAATCACAGCCCAGGACTTGCAAAGATGGAGCAACCCAGTCTCTGTGTCCCAAGGAGATGTCACCCATGGGAGTCCCCTTCTGAGTGTGCCTCCTTGTCACTCATTAAGGAACAAGACCGATTCCTCAATTCCAAGGTCAGAGGGAATAGCACCTGAGGTAAGCTTACCATGAAGCAAACAGTCAGCTAACGTGGTGGGCTGTGCTTCTAGCAGGAGGGAGACCGAGGCATCCTAGGCTATATACTAAACTACAGAGCAAGACCGCATCTCAACAACAACAACAAAAAAAAAACAAATACTAATACTATTCAAAAAGTAGGTAGTGGTGAAGCCAGGTAGGCCCAGAACTTGGGTCCCTAAGCAGACCAGGGACAGATGGGCAGAGCCAGGACAAATGTCAGTCCCAGTCACTGAGTCTCTGCATTAAGGGGCTCTTGGAGTGAGGGCTGGAAGGATGCCCAGGCATAAGCACTCATTCTGGGATTTTCATACAAAAAAAAGACCCTGCAGACCTTGATGGCTGGAACCCTAGGCATGACCCAGCCAGATGTGTGAGCCCCACCCCTTGCCTAGGGCCAGTCTAGAGGCTTGAGTGTTATATGGAGTTCTGGAGTGGAGTCCCTGCCAGGGCAGAGAGGCTGCTGTGGGACGATACTCTGTGGGAAGGTTTCCTGGATAAGATAAGGGATATTGAGGTTGGCAGCAGGTGAGCTCTGCCTCGAGGGACCAAGCACAGACACATTCCCAAGCTTGCTTCTAACAAGGCCTTCCCGTAGGATAGAGCTTACCTTGACAGATGCAGGATTCCAGTTCCTTGGGATGTGGGTGCAGATGCTGAGCAAGCCCTGGAGGTCCCCTGGGTCCTCTGTAAGCATCAGTGACTGGGTCCCCCTTTCCCCGCCCCGTTCTGAAAGTGAGGAGACTAGACTGGACTTGTAGCTCAGCTGGCACAATGTTTGCCTAGACACACACAAAGTCCTGGGTTGCTCTCCAGCAGTGCCATGAGCCAGATGTGGTAGCCCATACCTGTAACCCTTAGACTAGGGAAGTGGAGGCAGGAGGATCAGGAATTCAAGGTTATCCTGTCTAAAAGAGAAGGAGGGTTGGTGAGATGGCTCGAAGGGTAAGCATGAGTACCTATGTTTCCATTCCCAAAATTGTAAAAGCTGGGCACAGCATTGTGCGTCTGTAACCCCAGCAAGGTGCATCTGCAACCCCAGTGCTGGAGAGCAGAGGTGGGCAGGGCTCTGAGCTCCCTGGCCAGCCAGGATGGCTGAAACAGTAAGCTCCAGGTTCAGTGGGGAGCAGTAGAGGAAGACATCTGACATTGGCTTCTTGTGTTCACACATGTATGCATGGGTGATGGAACCTACAGGTGTGCACACAGATCCCCCGCCACACACACACACACACACACACACACACACACACACACACACACACAGACAGGAAACAGAGAAGAAATGGTGTGCCACACATGTGGCCTAAAGGACTGGGAAATCCAAGTGCCCAGAACTAGGTCTGGAGCAGGGGAAGGCTCTGTAACCTTCCAGTTGAGACTCAGGATCCAGTCCTGTCAGAACCCTGACACTTCCAGCTCTGCAGTTTCTAGCACCAACTTTACGTCTCTGGACTAGTGTCCTCATCCAGCAGGAAGTGACAGCATCTACTCTGAGGATGCTGTGACACACAGCCAGGTCAAACATGTCCTCACAGCAGCAAGCTGAAACTTGGCATTTTCAGAGTCAATCCCTAGAGTGGGTGTAGCCAGAGGCGTCTTCCTTTATAAATATGAGGGTTTATTGTCGGTGGTTTTTTTGTCTTTGTCCAGAACCTGTTGGTGTGGGAGGACAGGGATCGACTCAGGGAATTGTTCCCAGCAGAAAATGCCTGAGCCGAGGCCTGGCAGGATGGAGGTGCAGGATGCTTTGGGAAACTATCTCTGGAGGCAAGAAGCAGGCAGGGAAAGGACCAGGTGGACTCTTTGTGTGTGCAGATGAGCCTGCATGTAGCTGCAGGTGACAGAGGCTAAGGGGAACAAAGGACCACTCACCTTCTACTCCTGTCCCCACAGGATATGCGGAAGCACGTGACCATGACCCTGCTGGACACAGAGCAGTCATATGTGGAATCACTGCGCACCCTAATGCAGGTGAGACCCATGACCTAGGCCTGAGAACAGCCTTCCAAGTGTGAGCAGCAGACGTGTGGGGGTCACCCATATGGACAGGGGCTGAGACCAGAGAGCTGTGTCCCTGGCATGTACCACCAACGTGTGGCCACCCCGAAGGAAGAGGTCACCGCCTGCAGGGTAGGTGAGAATAGAAGGTCCCAGGCAGAGCAGAGGTCTCTACCCCATTGTCCCCATGTCCCCTCAGCAGCCCAGTTTTGAGCTGTGCACCTCCTTGACCATGCCTTTTCTGCGGCCGGAATTAAATACTGAGTATCTGCTGTGGGCAGGCCCTGATCCAGATACAGGAAGCCCAAGGACCAGGGAAAGAAGAACCCTGCTGAATATTTGGGACGCTCTAGAGCAGTAGTTCTCAACCTGTGGTGTCGACCCCTTTGGGGTCACATATCTGATATCCTAAATATCAGATATTTTCATTAAGATTCATAACATTGGCAAAATTATAGTTATGAAGTAGCAACGAGATAATTTTACAGTTGGGGTCACCAGAGCATGGATTAAAGGGTTGCAGCATTAGGAAGGTTGAGAACCACTGCTCTTGAGGCATGGAAGACACTGGACCAGTGTGTAGTCCCTAGCGAAGGGGCAGTGGGATGGCGTCTGCAGAGGGTGTGACATTTGGAGAGCCTCGTGGTACAGGGTATGGGGATCTGGGTCTTGGGTGATGTTGCAGGAACCAGCAGGCGTCATGGCATGGGGTCCTTGGCCCCTAGGAGGACTTAGGCCACAGTGGGGTTCCTGGAGATTCATCAGAGGGTTTTGAGCCAGGTAGGCGTGTGGTTGGACTGGTGCTTTGGGTGTGACTGCTAGAGAGATGAGTGGCAAGAGGGGACCAGGCCAGGGCCACAGAGTTCCAGTAAGGGCAGCAGTCATAGGAGGCAGAGCGAGGCAGATGCCTAGGAGGTGAGCCGCTCAGGTCAGATGGGCTCCAGGGATTAGGGGTTGGGCATGAGGTGGGAAGTCAGATCTGTGCCTGGACCCCTGGCCTGGGAGAGGAGGGTTGGGCACATCTATGGCAGGATGGTAAACCAAGGCTCAGCTGCGTGTGTACTGCAGAGGCCCGATATGTGTGTGTTGAAATGGAGCTCACAGGCACGGTTACAGATGAGCTTACTCAAGCCACCACAGCTCAGAGTCAAGTAGAACCCAGGAAATATCTAGAACCAACCAGCCCTTCCTTCTTCTCTCCCTCTCCCACTTCCACAGAGCTGTACAGAGCCAGTCTATAGAGCAAACACTATTTTCTTGTCAGGGCAGGGAGCGCCATTGATCATGAGCCCGAGGGACACGAATCTGTTCCCTGGAGCTCATGGGCCGTTCAGGAGAGTAGCAGTCACCAGCCAGACAAGTCACACCTGATGACAGATAGTGATACAGAATTTAAGGGTGTGTATACATATATGGGTAGTACTCTGCTTGAAACGGAGGGTGATTCCGATCCGTGCTGCCACAGTGATGAACCTCGAGGACACTGTGCTAAGTGAAACAAGCCACTCACCTAACAACCAATCATGGATGGTGTGCATTCCAAGGTGCTTGGAGTAGTCAGGCTTTCAGAGGTAGGGAGTGGAATGGTGGTAACAGGGTCCAGGGGAGGCTGGGGCTGGGTGTGGAGGCTATGGGGAGTTAGTGTTCAGTGGTCCAGAGCTTCCAGCTGGGAGATGAAGTTGGTGTTTACTCAACAGTATGAATATGTGTGTGCTAATCTGTGCACTTAAAATGGATTAAAGTGGGGCCAGGGAACTAGCTCAAAGTAGTGCATATCTAGCATGCAAGAAGCCCTGGGTTTGATTCCCCAGCGCTGCATAAACCAGGTGTAGCGGCTCACCTGTGATCCCAGCACTCAGGAGGCAGAGTCAAGAAAACCGAAAGTACAAAGTCATCTTTGACTAATAGATAGTCAAAGATAACTGGAATTCATGAGAAACTATTTACAAAAAACAAATGAAAGAAGCTAGTTACAGCGACAAATTTTATCTGTTGTCTATCTCACCACAAAGAAATACATTGCCTCTGGTTTTATAAAAATGTCCATAGATGTAAGAGCATAGAGTGAATACTTTCTTGTATGGGCTCAGGGAAGGTGACTCTGGGTTCGGAATGTCAGCAGCAACCTGGAGGTGCGTAGCATTTCAGCAGAGAGCCCATTGAAGGGAGCAGGCAGAGGGCACAACTCAGACAAAGACCAGGGCAGTGGAGGAACCTGGAACCGTTAGGAGACCAAAGTGCCCCATGTGGCTGCCTGGAAGGAAGCCAGGCAAGGGCTGGGGTCTCCTGTGGGCACAGGAAAACCTGAGCAGGGATTCCCAAGATGTCGGACAGGAAGAGTGGCCGTGGCAAGGACCCACTGCCGCCCCATAGTAAGAGTTGGCAGCAGTGTATGGTCAGACAGCCCTGGCTTGGGATCACTTGCCTCCTGGGCGACAGGAGTTTAAGTCACTTCACTTTCCTAGGCCTTGGTTTCGCCTGTAAAACAAAGCTGCTCGTGTATTCTCTCGGGGTGAAGATGAAAAGATGGCGTTGCCTCTCCTGCCTGTTGGCAGAGAGGCAGAGCCTCCAGTGGGACACCGAGCAGGCAGGTCCAGCATCTGAGTCTGCTGGGCCCAATGAGGCAAGCAGGGCTGGAGGTGAAGACCCCAAACTGAGATTTCTGGGTGGGAGGGGAAAGGTAGAGGTGAGCAAGAGGTCATCACCTGACCCCAAGGCCTGTGGGTACCACGGCCTGGGAGTATGGGCAGATGGAAGATGGGTCGCGCCAGAGTTCCGGAGTGTGACTTTGCTGCACTTCTTGGTCAGCTGTGTAAGCTGTAACAAATCATGCACACAGCTGTGTCTCACTTGCCCTGACCGTAGAGTCGAGATCATAATAATATGTGTCCCCAATGCACATCTCAGGAGAGATGCGAGTGGCACCTCACATACCGCACGTGTGTTGTGGTGCGCATGTGCACAATACCTTCAGCCTCTGTAACCCTTGTGAGGTAGAAATTAGGAGACTCTCTGAACAAGAAAATGAAGACTCTGAAACAGAGATGGGCGCTGGCTCAGGGACCACCGCCACCCAACGTGGGTCGGTAGGATGCCTGCAAGACGAGGATTTAGATAAAAGCGCTAAGGCCGCATGAGTGGCACCTGTCTGTAGTCTTGGTATTTTGGAGGCAGAGGCATATTGGGGAGTTTAGGACTAGGCTGGGCTGCAAAGCAAGACCCTGTCTCCAAAACAGAAACTAAACGAGCCAGGTGTGGTTGTGTGTGCCTGCGCCCTCAGATCCTGAATGGGAGACAGGAGGATCAGGAGTTCAGGGCCAGGCTGGACTACTTAGCCAGTTCAGATAGAAACAAACAAAATAGCAGAAAAGAACCACAAACCAAAGTCAGCAGCAGGGAGGTGGGATCTGAACCCGGGCCCTAAGTCACTCCATCCTTCAGTCCTGTCTTGAGCCCCAATATTTTCAGCTAAGAAATAGCCCTTTCCTGAGCAATTTTCCTCCCCTTGGCCCCCTGGGCCCCCTACTCTCCTGTCTCCAGAGTCCTCACTCCCTTCTGGTGATAAATACACAATAGCTCGTTTATTTCTTACAGCTCAGGTGTGGGGACTTTGTGGCTCCCAGACTTTGGGCTGATACATTTTGAGGGAATGTGGGTGTTAGCAGGGGTTGTATCAATTTTCAGACATTTCATCTGCTATTCTTTGTTCCCAAAATGTGCCTGCTCCTCTGAAGGGTGACCCAGAGGTGAATGGTGTCCCTTCTGATCCTGGCCCAGTCAAGGTGCTGGCTGGCATTGGCCAGGGAGCCCTGATAGGGAAGACAGCTGCTACTCAGTCACCCTGAACCTTTTCAGACTCTTCAGCCAGCCAAGAGAATTCTATTCAGCCTGACGTTTCAAGTTTGTTTTACAAAACAAGCCAGATTTTTAAAATGTTTAATATAAATGTAACATCACATATGCCTTTTCAAGAACCGCCCTCATCTTTTTTTGGCTTGCAGTTACGGCCTGGGCCAGTAGAGGGCGATCTCTCCATAGGCAGGCCAGCGGAGGAACTGGCTGTTCATGCTTGGGAAACACCACTGAATGCAGATTTGTGTTGAAAAACGGGAATTTTAGTCACAGACTTCCCCAGAGATTCAAAACATGTAAAGTAGTTTTCAGTACAGGACTCCCGTAGTGTCAGCATCAACTTCAGCGCCCTGCCTGTGTCACTTTAACACCCGAGTTACACATGCAATCCATCCTGAGATGGAAGGCCTTCGCGTTTCCGTGAACCCAGAGTTCCCCACATAGTTGCCAGCATATCGTAGTTTAATTGGCACCAGGGGTTTTTCCTCCGAAAGGTAACTTAAAGACACCACAGTGTATCTTAGGGTTGGTTAAACCATATTCCTTTCATTTGTGTGCCTCATCTGACTAGACGTAAGCTCTGTCAGGTCTTTTTATTGGCTTTTTCTTTTTTCTTTCTTTCTGGTTTTTTTTTTTTTTTTTTTTTTGAGACAGGGTTTCTCTGTATTGTTTTGGAGATTGTCCTGGAACTCGCTCTGTAGACCAGGCTGGCCTCGAACTCACAGAGATCCGCCTGCCTCTGCCTCCCGAGTGTGGGGATTAAAGCGAGTGCCACCACCTCCCAGCTATTGGCTATTTTTTGAGATAAGATCTGACTCTGCAGCCCAGGCTGGCTGTGAACTTGTGGTGCACCTCTGTGTTAGCCTCCTGAGGACGGAGATGGCAGGGTAAACCACCATGCTCTTCCTTGGGGTCTTGTTCCCTGCTGCCCTCCTGGCATGAGTTAATTACTCAATAAACAGTTACTGAATTACGGGGGGAGGTCTCCAGTAAAGCACCCCCCCAGTCCTCTGTGTCCCCTCCCCCAAGCCCTTCTCAAGCATCCAGCTTTCCTTCCCCGCGCCCCCCTCTCCTCTGACTGAGCCCTGAGCTAGGCAGGAGCATGGGAATCTTCCTGCCACTGCTGAGCTGTAGGCGGGGGGGAATTCCCGTGGAAAGACAGTGCGGGCGAGGTGGGGTGCCACCTCCGTGGGAAGGCACACTGACCCCGAGGGTCCTCCAGGGTTACATGCAGCCACTGAAGCAGCCAGAGAACTCCTTGCTGTGCGACCCGTCTCTGGTGGACGAGATCTTCGACCAGATCCCAGAGCTTCTGGAACACCACGAGCAGTTCCTGGAGCAGGTGCGGCACTGCGTGCAGACGTGGCACGCCCAGCAGAAGGTGGGGGCCCTGCTCGTCCAATCGGTGAGTGGCTTGCTGCGTGGACTCCAGCCGGGACACCTTGACTGGGTAGCTGGCTCTGTGCTGACCCGGACCTCACGTTCCTAGGCCTTGACATTCTGACTGGCTCTGTTTAATAATCATAGTTTATTCCCTCTGGCACTTTTTAAGTGCAGGGCATTATTCTACACAGTATATATACCAGAGGCCCTCGCCTGTCATACTCCTTGCCCCAGGAGCAATTTCAAAAGAACCACAAAAGCAAAGCTTAAAAGGTTTCATTAAACTCCCAAACTCGTGTAAATGTAACATGATGTTTCTTCTTAAAATTGGCACTTCTTAAAATGACACTTTAGGAGCTGGAGAGATGGCTCAGAGGTTAAGAGCACTGGCTGCTTTTCCAGAGGTCCTGAGTTCAAGTCCCAGTACCACGTGGTGGCTCACAGCCATCTAGAGTGAGATCTGGTGCCCTCTTCTGGCCTACAGGCATACCTGCAGGCAGGACACTATGTACACAATAAATAAATAAATTTTTTCTTTACAAAATCCTGCCAGATACATGCAGACAGAACACTGTATGCATAATAAATAAATAAATCTTTTTTAAAAATCCTGCCAGGTGGTGGTGGCACACACCTTTAGTCCCAGCACTTGAGAGGCAGAGACAGGTGGATCTCTGTGAGTTTGAGACCAACCTAGTCTACAGAGTGAGTTCCAGGACAGACTCTAAAGCTACAGAGAAACCCTGTCTCTAAAAACCAAATAAATAATGGGATGTGAGCATGTTTAAATGTGCTCATTATAGCCGGGTGTTGGTGGCACACACCTTTAATCCCAGCACTCGGGAGGCAGAGGCAGGCAGATCTCTGTGAGTTCCAGGACAGCCTGGTCTATAGAGAGAGTTCCAAGACAACCTCCAAAACAATACAGAGAAACCCTGTCTCGAAACCCCCCCAAAAAAGAAAGAAAGAAAGAAAAGAATGAGCTCATTATGAAGTGGAGTGTGACCTTGAACAGGTCTTAGTTTGTTTTTGTTGCTTAGAAACCGATGCCACCAGATGGGATTAAGTGCTGTTGTCTCCACCCTCAGTGTCATTAAGTTCAACCTCCTGTCTGGACCTGGATGCTGACTGTGGGCTGACAGGAGGCTCAGTCCAGAAACAGGGACAGTTGGCATCGTAGAGAATCAGGGCCATTAAGATCTGTAACTTATCTGTCCTATGTGCAGCTGAGACAGGAACCCAGGTGTCCTCACCTGCAGGCAAGTCCCCTGACCTAGCACCTACCGTCAGCCAAACAGCAGGATTAGCCATTAGCGTGTTCTTTGCCCAGAGCCAGGCTTTACCTTGCCAGGAGAGAATCCCTAAGTCAGGCAGCAAGTGCATCTCATAAGAGCAGGCTGTGGCTCAGTGCCCAGAGGGGGTTGGCTGGGCTGGGAAGGGTGTTCCTGGTGGAGTCCCAACACTACTGTGGGTTTGCTCATTCCCATCACAGGGGTCTGAGGCTTGCCAGGCTCATTTGATGGGGGTGATAGACTGTCCAGAAGCGAGCAAACCAGGTGTGGGCTCAGCACGCACCCAGGCACATGTACATGTGCTTACACACAAACACACAAAAGATATACCGTATCTGTTCATTCAGGCGTGTGTCATACATGCAACACATACACATTTAGACAGAGTAGGTCATGCCTGACCATTTCAAGTTAAATGGGTGGACGCTAGGACAGGGTGAAGCACGTCAGGAACACCTGAGCCTGCCTAACCTGTCTCCTCACCCACAGTTCTCCAAAGATGTCTTGGTGAACATTTATTCGGCCTATATTGATAACTTCCTCAATGCAAAGGATGCTGTGCGTGTGGCTAAGGAGGCAAGACCGGCCTTTCTCAAGTTCTTGGAGGTATGTGGACTGGGGTAGAGATGGAGATAGACTACCTCAGGCTAGCCCTGGGGCATCCCAGGAGCTCTTGACCTTAGCACCACAGTGCCAGCGAGTGTGTCGGCCTTTGCCCCTGAGCTCAGCTGGCGGGACTTGCTAGGAGCCTGTCTCTTCCTGGCATGTCGTTCCTCACGTGGGGACTCCCTCCGCTCTGCCTGAGCTCAGCTGGAGGGACAGCTAGGAGCCTGTCTCTTCCTGGCGTGTCATTCCTCACATGGGGACTCCCTCCGCTCTGCCTTGGTTTCAGCAAAGCATGCGTGAGAACAAGGAAAAGCAGGCTCTGTCCGACCTCATGATCAAGCCTGTGCAGAGGATCCCACGATATGAGCTTCTGGTGAAGGTAGGCAAGGGGCTGGTTGTGCAGGCGGGCAAGCATGGAGTGGGGGTGGGGGTGCGTGTCTGTTCTCAGACTCCAGACAGGATGCCTACCGGTAGTCGCCCCTGCTCCAGCAGTCAGTCTAACGCCTCAAGGGCAGCTAAGCAGGGCCCCATTCCACCCCAGGACCTTCTGAAACACACACCGGAAGACCATCCAGACCACCCACTCCTGTTGGATGCTCAGCGGAACATCAAGCAGGTGGCCGAGCGCATCAACAAGGGAGTGAAGAGCGCTGAGGAGGCGGAGCGCCATGCCCGTGTGCTGCAGGAGATCGAAGCCCACATTGAGGGCATGGAGGATGTATGTGCCCCACCCGGCCAGGCTCCATCCCACTCCTGTCTGTCTGTGTCTGCCTCTGTCACCGAGACTGCGCCCATACACATCCACGTCAGGGCCTGTGGTGAACTTGATTCTGTGACCACAGTGCCCCACCCTCTGTGTCCTCCTCCTCTGTCTGACCTTGTGTCCCTGGCCTGGCAGTGCATTCGATGTGAGAGAGGACGGGACTTTGCGCCAGTTGACCTGGCTTACAGAGTGCGCCAGCCAGGTCACTGTGGGGTCAATGGATTAATAATTAGTTTTTAAGACTCCCTTGTTTCTCCTGCCCACAGCTCCAGGCCCCCCTGCGGCGGTTCCTGAGGCAGGAGATGGTTACTGAAGTGGTAAGAAGTATACCGTTGGCTGCTCCCCTGTGTACCCCCACCTACCCAAGCTCACTCCTCTGGTGCCTGCTGCCCTCAGGTCCCTGATCTCCCCCAACCACAGCGGGAGCCCTGGAAGAGTCCTGACTGAACATAAAGTGGAGGAGAGCTCTCCCCCTCCCCGGGACTTGCTGCCCATGTGGGCACTAGGGGCCCGCGGGCAGGCCTCTGGACTGTACACACTCTGCCTGAATCCCACTTTGGATCCTACAGAAAGCAATTGGAGGCAAGAAGGACCGATCCCTCTTCCTATTCACCGACCTCATTGTCTGTACCACCCTGAAAAGGAAGTCAGGCTCCTTACGGCGCAGCTCCATGAGCCTGTGAGTGGCCAGGGTGGGGCTGGGTGGTGCAGGCAGGAGAGCCATTGATCTATTGTGGGCTCTACTCCCTGCCCCAGCCAGAGCACCCCATTGGCTACCCACAGGTACACGGCAGCCAGCGTCATCGATACGGCCAGCAAGTACAAGATGCTGTGGAAGCTGCCGCTGGAAGCCACAGACATCATCAAAGGTGAGGCCGACTTGAGTCTGTCAGAAAGAGATCCTGGTGTTGGGTTCTTCCTCCAAGAAGTCCCTCTTTGAGCTCTGGCTGCCTGTCTGTCAGTTTTCCTGTTTTTCTGCCTCACTTTGCATCCCAAATGAGGGGCTGGTTTTGAAGGTTAGTGTCCATGCAGCCAGATCCAGGTATCCATGCAAACCATTCCCCCACAAGACTTACCTGTAACTGTAGTCAGCCACTGAGTTAGCTACCGTTTGAACACCTGCTGTTAGCTGGTGGGGTACCATTCCCGCTTAACACCGAGAAGCAGAGCCCTGATGAAGGGATTGGTTAAGGAGGCTGGTGGCTTGGGACTGAACCTTCCAGAAGCAGGACACCCTGAGGCTCTCTGTCTTCATCCCATCTTGCTGTCTCACCACCACACTTCAAATCCTCTGCTGGTTTGTCACTCCAGAACTGACTCTGAGCCTGTCTGAGAGGTGGCCTCAGATGAACCAGGTTGTCCCACAGGGCCCCATGTGAGGACCAAGTCCACCTCTTCTCCTCTCAGGAAACAGAGCAGTGACAGAATGACCCGCTCCTGGCTATTCATCTGTGTGGCCAGGAATAAAGCAGGATAGGAGTGGAAGAGAGCATGGCTTTGGAGTAGGAGAGGGAGTAGGAGAAGCCATAGGAGACTGTTTTAGCCTGGATCCATGTAACAACAATAACAACAAAACCAAACACCAAGACCAGGTATTATGCAAGCAGGAATTTATTGCCCCCAGTTCTGGAACATTCCAGTATAAGATAAGACACAGGCCTGTCTGGTGTCTGCTGAGGGGCCTGTTCCTCATATGTGTCCTAACTAGGTGAAAGGGTTAAATGAGCTGTCCCGGATTTTGTTTTATTCAGACCATATAGTGCTGACTCGCTCTGTAGATCAGACTGGCCTTGAACTCACAGAAATCTGCCTGCCTCTGCCTTCTGAGTGCTGGGATTAAAAGCATGAATCCTACTCATGAGGACATTACCCACATGACTTTGTCACCCCCTACACCAATATTGGAGCAGCATTTCAACATATAAACTCTGGGGAGACGCAAACTTTTAACTGTGGCCAGGTATTGCAAGGCTTGGCCTGTTGGGTACACGGCCCTACTCTGCAGCAGTATCAGAGTATGTGTCCATGGTGGGGACACCTCCCTGCCAACCCCGTGTCCGTCCCCAACAGACTGTCCGTGTCTCTCTAGGGTCCCTGGCCACAGGGCCCTCCCACACATCCCTTGCCAGTCTCAGAACCCATTCCTCTGGAGTGCTGTCATGACCCCATGGTCTTCTCACCACTCTGTGACCTGTGACAGCTGCCCATCTGTACTGTATAAACAGGAGCAGAGAGGATAGCAAAACCTGTCATTTAGGAAAGAGCAAAGAGAGAACAACTTCCTGTCCCTTGATTTCAATACTTACTGCCTAGCCTAGCAGTGAAGACACCGTCCCCGTTACGGTCCGATAGTCTGGAGTGGATGTACACCCGAGGCAGTGAGGTGACATTCTGATCTGACCTATAGGGCTTGGGATGGTCAGCTGTGGGAGAAGACCAGGCAGTCAGGGTGCCACTTCCTTGTGACCTCCTTTCTGGGGAGGCAAGTCTCTCCGTCAGTAGATCGGACTGCCAGGGCTCTGTCTGCTTGGGAAGTCCACCATGAGCTGCACCACGGCCGTACCCCAGTGTCTCCTGGAGCTCACATAACCTGCTGAGCTATCTATACCCTTCTAGAAAGCTCTCCAAGGGTCCTGGCATCTTGTGCTTGTGCTCCTAAATCAAGCGCAGTCCCCTCCTCCCAGGCCTGGGACTTTTCTGGAAGCTGCCTGCTAACCTTGTTTCTGAGAGCTCGGTCTGGAAACTCTCCATTTGCTAGACCTGTCTCATGTCCAGCCACAGGCCATGCAGTAAGGGAACTGTGGCTGTCCAAGTCTGACCTTGTCTTAGGTGTCCTCGACTCTCCTCTGTCCCTGCCAGGGGCATCTCAAACCACCAATCGGGAGAATATCCAAAAAGCCATCAGCCGCCTGGATGAGGACCTGGCCACCCTGAGCCAAATGAGCAAGCTCTCAGAGAGCCTCGGCTTCCCCCATCAGGTCTGTGCCCTGAGCTAAGGCAGGGTTGGGCTGGGGCTTCTCCTGACCTTGTCTGAGGGAGAGACAGTCTTGGCATTTGCCCGAGGGAGCAGTTGGTCCCGTCACTTATCTGAAGGGGAAAATTATAGTCTTGCTCCCACTTAAGGGAAGTGACAGGTCCCAGGTCTGAGGGAGGAGACATCTAACCAGGAGAGAGGCCCAGCCCTGTCTGGTGGGAGGAAGCAGCCTTCCACTGTCTGAGGGGAGAGGCAGGTCCTCATATTCCTAAGTGCAGATGCTCGTGTGGTGGGGGAGACCTCGGCCTGAGGCCCGGGCTCTTTTCCCACAGAGTCTGGATGATGCGCTGAGGGACCTCTCTGCCGCCATGCACCGGGACCTGTCGGAAAAGCAGGCGTTGTGTTACTCGCTTTCCTTCCCGCCCACCAAGCTGGAGCTGTGTGCCACCCGGCCCGAGGGCACCGACTCCTTCATCTTTGAGTTTCCCCACCCTGATGCCCGCCTGGGCTTTGAGCAGGCCTTCGATGAGGCCAAGAGGAAGCTGGGTGAGCCAGGGTTCATGCCGGTGTCTCCTCTCAGAGCCTCTGGGCAGTCCCGACTTTAGAAGCCAGAACTCCCTCAACTACGGTGTCCTCTCTGCCAGCAGCTGATTAGGATGGGTGGACTGAGACCGTTTCAGTGAGCCAGGAGGCTGTGACTCCCAGCTTCTCACTGGGAGGGGTTCCCAGACAGAGTCATGTTAGGACAGGGACCCCAACATAGGCCTGAACAGCCAAGAATCTGCTCCTCCTCAGTATGACTGAGTCCTGGAAAATTTTTGGTTAATTCCATAGCTTAGAGACCCAGGACTATTCCCTCATCGTACAGAAGAGGAGACTGAGGCCAAGAGCAAACAGTGTAACCCATAACCTCTCATCTGGCGGGCCCACCCTTGGGAGACTCTGACAGACGGGAGGAAATGGGATGGGGGTGGAAGCAGAGGCAGAGTAAGGTGGGTGCTAAGCAGGGGTGTCTTCCTCTGCCCTGTCTCCTCTGCTACAGCATCCAGTAAAAGCTGTCTAGATCCCGAGTTCCTGAAGGCCATCCCCATCATGAAAACTCGCAGTGGCATGCAGGTGTGTGTGCGTGTGCGTGTGGGCTGTGTAGATATTATCTGTTCAAAGCTACATGTGGGTAGGGGTGGTGATGGCGCAGGCCTTTAATTTCAGCACTCGGGGAGGCAGAGATAGGCGAATCTCTGTGATTTCCAGGACAGCCTGGCCTACAGAGTGATTTCCAGGATAGACTCCAAAGCTACAGAGAAACCCTGTCTTGAAAGACAAAACAAAAGAAACAAACAAATAAAAAAAGCTGCTTGTGTATAAATTTTTGTTTTGGAAACATTGTGATTGCTCCTTGGGTCTGAGTATATGCATGTGCACACTGTGTGTGTATCATGAATATGGGCGTGTGCATTTGAACATAAGACTGTAGATGTGAAGCCTAGTTCATGTGCTTTTTGCATTTTCATACCTAACCAGTAGTACTAGCATCACATATTAATAGGTGCGTACATCCATGGTCCTATTCAAGGGACATGTATGTGTTACATACAGGTTTGGATGCTGTTCATATCATTAGCATAGTGCATTTGGTATAAGAGATATATGCAAGCCTGCCATCCGTCTGTTCTGCTGGTGTCTGTGGTAGAGCAAGATACCGGCACAGTTCTAACTTTCCCTTTTCCCTGTCCATCGGGGTTTCCCAGTTTTCCTGTGCTGCCCCCACCCTCAGCAGCTGCCCAGAGCCAGCGCCAGAGGTGTGGGTTTGCAACAGTGATGGCTACGTGGGTCAGGTGTGCCTGCTAAGCTTGAGAGCAGAACCAGACGTGGAGGCCTGCATTGCCGTTTGCTCCGCCCGCATTCTCTGTATTGGAGCCGTGCCGGGTCTGCAGCGTCGCCCGCGGTAAGGCCCTGGTGAGCCTCGGAGACCAACTTCTGGCCCAGTACACCCTAAGGTTGTCCTGGGTGGGCGGGGTCAGGTTGGGAAGCTATCTGGGGTGCTTCCTAGGGGCGGTTCGTGTTCCCTTTGTCTCTAGAGAGCAGCCAGAGCCCTCGAGGAGTCCCCCAGAGACCACCCTGGAGCCCACCGGGCCCGAGCTAGATGTCGAGGCCACAGCCGATGAGGAGGCAGCAGCCCTGGCCGAGCCGGGACCTCAGCCTTGCCTGCACATTTCCATCTCAGGATCTGGCCTGGAGATGGATCCAGGTCCTGCCAAGAGTGACCCCCAGGCTGAATTGGTGCCCTTTGACAGTGACTCTGATGACGAATCTTCACCCAGCCCCTCCGGGACCCTGCAGAGCCAAGCCAGCCAATCCACCATCTCCTCCAGCTTCGGCAGTGAGTGTGGGTGGGAACTGAGGGAGCGGTGGGGGAGGAGACACCAATGGAGGCAGACACTGGAATCAGTTCACTAGAGGGATTGTAATAGTGAGGACTCAGAAGGCAAGTCAGTCCCACAGGTGGGGATCATGGAGACCTTAGAGTACACTGTCAAGGGGAGGGAGACGGACATTGGGTACGTAGCTAGTCCCTCCATACGGGTGTGGCTGGACTTACGATGGCCTGACGAGGACTGGGACCGGTGGTATGTGCTGAGAGTGAGCAGGGGAAAGGCCTTAGCACATCCTTCCAGACAAAGGAAGGATGTAACCAGGAGGACACAGAGAGGCCTACAGAGATGTTAGATTTCTGCCTGGTGGAGGGAAATACAGATAGAGGCCTTTGTCTTTTCAGATGAGGAGACCCCAAGCTCCAAGGAGGCCACTGCAGAGACAACCAGCTCTGAAGAAGAGCAGGAGCCTGGCTTCCTGTCACTGTCGGGCTCCTTTGGGCCAGGTGGTCCCTGTGGCACCAGCCCAATGGATGGGAGAGCCCTTCGCCGCTCCAGCCGTGGTTCGTTCACAAGGGGCAGCCTTGAGGACCTGCTGAGTGTGGATCCAGAGGCCTACCAGAGCTCCGTGTGGCTGGGCACTGAGGATGGCTGGTAGGGGCAGGGAAAGGTCTGGTGGCCTGAAGCAGAAGTGGGGGGCGGAGGGGTGGAGCTAGTCTTGGGGGTCCTGCTAGCTGGGGATGCAGAGGGCCTGAGACACAGGAGAAGCCAGTACACCGGTCGGTACCTGGTGTAGGGAAGGCGGGGAGGAGGCATAAAAAGGTGAAGGGATGACTCCTGGGGCTGGTGGATCTGACGGCTTGTCACAGATGCCCCCCTAACCCACAGTGTCCACGTCTACCAGTCCTCTGACAGCATTCGTGACCGCAGGAACAGCATGAAGCTCCAGCACGCGGCCTCTGTGACCTGCATCCTGTAAGGCCCCAGGTTGCCCTTCCCACCCAGAGTCTCCTTTGCCAGCATATAGGCCACCTCAGGGCATCTGCCCCCTCTGCTGGCCCCTCTTCCGGGGGAGACGCAGAACAGAGGCCTGCACCGAGGCCAGCTGTGCACCCTCCACACTGTTAACGTGGGTATGTCACTGCTACTTCTCAGCCTCGGGGCCCCTCCCCCCACACACACCTTGAGAGTAAAGACTAGAAAGAGGTGAGCTCTTGAGACCAGAGCCATTGTACCCGCGAGTCCCTTGGCCCCAGGATGCCCGCTTCAACCTCTGGAAATGCAACCCTATTTCCTTTTTCTCAGGTATCTGAACAACCAGGTGTTTGTGTCTTTGGCCAATGGAGAACTTGTGGTCTACCAAAGGGAAGCAGGTATGTGCCCCACACACCCTTCCACCCTTATGCCCTTGGTGGTAACTGGGCTCTCTACTGGACAAATGGGAACTTGTGGGCCACAGGCCCAGACGTATATGAGGCTTTGGGCAACTCTCAGGATCCCCATATCTTCTCCTATAAACGAGAGTGTTCGCCAGGTAGTGGTGGCTCACACCTTTAATACCAGCCCTGGAGTGGCAGAGGCAGTGGATCTGTGAGTTCGAGGCCAGCCTGGTCTACAGAGCGAGTTCCAGGACAGTTCCAAAACTACACAAAGAAACGTTGTCTCTAGAACCAAAAATCAAAATAAATGGGAGCATTCAGGTTTCTTTTCAGGGAATGCTGAGACATATTTTATGTTTTCTTTAACCCATTCCTCCTCTAGGGCGTTTCTGGGACTCCCAGAACTTCAAGTCGATGACTCTGGGTGCTCCAGGGAGCCCCGTCACCAAGATGGTGTCTGTGGGTGGACGACTGTGGTGTGGCTGCCAGAACCGGGTCCTTGTCCTGAGCCCTGACTCACTGCAGCTGGAGGTAGCAAGGGTGGTGGACGGAATTGGTGATTTGGGGCAAGCTGGGGTCACAGGAGAGGGAGATAAAGCCAGCGGGACAGAGAAGCATCCTGCTGAGAGGTTTGGACCTTTCCCTGAGCTCTCTTTCTTACCAGGCCAATCTCTACCCTTCTCTGACCCTCATTTCCACTCTAGCTAATGAGGACGACAGCAAATCTCCGTAAGCATTAGAATTCCTCATTCCTACTCCTTATGTCTTGTCAGTGCAACACTGGGATCTTTGAGGGACAGAAGGGTCCTTCCTGATGTCACCATCCCTTAACATAAACTTTTAGCCTTTCGTCCTGCTTTGTTTACATACAAACCATAAGTTTCCGGCATAGGCAGTAACTAGGGGCCACAGATTTCCTTGGGGTTCATTGACTGAATTGAGGCTTGGGGTCAGGCCCTGGCTCTGCGACTAGCCTGGTATGTGACTGACCATGGGCCTTTTTAGGGTGTGACCTTTTTCCTCCTAGGCTAACACTTCCCCATCTGTCCGGGGAGAGACCAATGACTGGCCTTAAACCCACACAAGCTTTAGTCACTCAAGTTTCGTAGGGAGAGGGCACCCCTTTTTACTTCTGGAGGGTTAAGTGGGCAAGCTTTGAAACTGACCACCCAGAACCCAGGACCAGGACTGCCTCAGCTGTCAGTCTGGGCCGGTATCTAGAGAGGTTTGTGGGGAGCTATGTGTGGAATGGGCAGTGGTGGGGTTCAGGCAGAAGGACCCCAGGCAGCTTTGCCAACTACTGCCTGATCTCTGCCCTCCTCCCCTATAGCACACATTCTACGTGGGGCAGGACTCCAGCCGAAGTGTGGCTTGCATGGTCGATTCCAGCTTGGGTGTGTGGGTGACCCTAAAAGGGAGTGCCCACGTTTGTCTCTACCATCCAGACACCTTTGAGCAGCTGGCGGAGGTAGATGTCACCCCTCCTGTGCACAGGATGCTGGCAGGTACTGACCTCTCACTCCCGTCCAGGGGGAGGCTCAGACAGGGTCAGCCTCCAGGACCAATGATGCTGTTTCTCCCCCAGGCTCGGACGCCATCATCCGGCAGCACAAGGCAGCCTGCCTGAGGATCACGGCGCTGCTGGTGTGTGAGGAGCTACTGTGGGTGGGCACCAGTGCTGGGGTTGTGCTGACGATGCCCACCTCTCCAAGTACCGTCAGCTGCCCACGAGCTCCTCTCAGCCCCGCTGGCCTAGGCCAGGGGCACACTGGCCATGTCCGCTTCCTGGCAGCAGTCCAGCTGCCTGATGGCTTCGACCTTCTCTGTCCAACCCCGCTGCCTCCCCCAGATACAGGTGGGTTTGCACCTTCCACTCCCGACCAGGGGTCTGCTGGGGGAGGCTCTAAGAGGGTGGAAAAGCTGGAAGTGAAGCCCGTTATAAGATAGACTGCAGGCCGGGCGGTGGTGGCGCACACCTTTAATCCCAGCACTCGGGAGGCAGAGGCAGGCGGATCATCTGTGAGTTTGAGGCCAGGCTCGACTAACAGCCTCCAACACAATACAGAGAAACCCTGTCTCGAAAAACCAAAAAAAGAAAGAAAAAAAAAAGAAAAAGAAATAGACTGCAGAGTCCCCAGATGAAACTGTGTGCTCTCCTGTGCATGTGCGTGAGGTGTTGTCCAGGGACATGGCGTAGGAGACTGGCAGTGAGCTATAAGCTAATAAGGGGCAAATATGTCCGTGGGAAATCTATCCTGTTGTATGTGTTTCTGAATATACCAGGAGGTAAAGCAGAGCTGGAAACAGGGTATAAGGCAGGAAATGGACTCGGGAAGTGATGTCCAGGACAGGAAATAGAAATAGCACCAGAGCCAGACATTGGTGGCGCATGCCTTTAATCCCAACAGATTAAAGAGGCAGAGGCAGGCGGATCTCTGTGAGTTCCAGGACAACCTCCAAAACAATACAGAGAAACCCTGTCTCAAAAAAAAAAAAAAAAGAAAGAAAGAAAGAAAAGAAAGAAATAGCACCAGAAAAGAGAATACACAGTGGCATATAGGGCCGGAAGTAGGACTAGAAAGTGAAACAGCAGGAAAATGAGGCACTTGACAGAGGTCATGATGAGCAAATTCTTGCTTTGGAGGACAAGAACCCTTGTTCCAAGAGAAGTAACAGGAAGTCAGGCGACAGTGAAGCCTGAGTCGAAAGCTCTGTGAACTGAGAAAAGGCTCGAGCCACGTTAACCGGAGAGTACGTCGGATGCAATTCTGCATCACAGAGCAGTAGCACATGTTCAGAGAGCTGTGTGCTTGGACGATAGCATTGCTGTGTGTACATCACAGATCACTCACAGAACCCTGGGTGGCACACGCCCACACAGCTATGCTATATGGCATTTATAAACGGCTCTAACGGCACAGCCTATGGCTCTAACGGCACAGCCTATCGCTCTTAGAGCCATGATGAATAAAACACAAGATTAGGTGGAGGGCAAGAGAAAACGATGCAGTCCAGAGCCGCATAAGCACGAGGTGGACAGCGCTGCTGCCTGCACACACTGACCCGCCTCTTACAGTGAGCTCGTCCTTAAGGTGAGTGGGAGGTGTACACTCCAGAGGAACGCAGCGCTTAGCATATTCCTGTTATAGGAAAGAGCTTTGCATGCACGTGGCTCTGGGATCAGTCCCCAAACAAAAACAGAAACAGAAGATAGAGAGAAAATGAATGAACCGGTAACATGTGCACTACACTCATATAGAGGGCCAGCGACCAGTTCCCAATGCTCAAATCAAGCTGCTTACAGCCACCTGTAACTCCAGCTCCAGGGACTCCAATGGCCTCATTTGGCCTAGTCAGGTACACACACGCGCTCGCTCTCTCTCTCTCTCTCTCTCTCTCTCTCTCTCTCTCTCTCTCTCGCTCGCTCGCTCGTCAGTTACACACACACTCTCTCTCTCACACACACACTCTCTCTCTTTCTCACACACATACACACAAACACACAAATACAAATAAATCTTTAGAAATTCCTTTAAGCAGCCGGTTAGTGGTGCACACCTTTAATCCCAGCACTCAGGAAGCAGAGACAAGTGGATCTCTGAAAGTTTGAGGCCAGCCTGGTCTACAGAGTGAGTGCCAGGACAGCCAGAGTTGTTACACAGAGAAACCCTGTGTCAGAAAAAAGAAAAGAAAGAAATTCTTTTAAAGAGTAAAAAGCTGAAGGTGGTGGCACAAAGCTTAGCCCCTGCCCTTGGGAGGTACAGGCAGGTGGAACTCTAGGCTAGCCTGGTCTACAGAGTGAGTTCCAGGCACCTTTGGCCTCCACATACATGCATGTACGCTGTATGCACACATATCCACATGAATATGTATGTGTATCACCATACACAGAAAGCATAAATGCACATGTGCGTGATCGCACACACAGGAGATAAGGATGACTGCCAAGAGAGTGGGCTTTTCTTCTGCTATGGGAACCCTTAGTTAACAGGAAGTGTGTGTGTCTTACTAGCTGCTGGGATGCAGAGTTCAAGAAATGATAGGGCATGAAGCTACAGCTGCCTCAGGTTGACCGATCCTCCTCCTTGTTCCTCAGGCCCTGAGAAGCTGCCATCCCTGGATCACCGGGACTCCCCTAGGCACCGAAGCCCCACCTCAGCCAGGCCTAAAATGCTGGTCATCAGTGGTGGTGATGGCTATGAGGACTTCCGACTGAGCAGCGGGGGTGTCAGCAGTAGTGAGACGGTGGGCCGAGACGACAGCACAAACCACCTCCTCCTATGGAGGGTGTGAGCCTGCCCACGGTGGCCCAGGACTCCCCTGTCCGTCTGCCCTCAGCCTGCCCGTCTCTTCCCAGGCCACATGCAGACCTTGAGCAGAGTGTCCAAGTAGGGGCATGCCATCTGGACACACTCTCGTCTTTGTGGAAGCATTCCTGGTAGAACACTGCCAGCCAGGCCGAGGCCTCTCCTACCTGCTGACTGCCCTGGGGCTCCCGTTTGGGACCAGGGTGGAGATGTGGGGACTGCCAGGACCTCTGTCCCTGAAGCTTCTACCAAAGACACAGCTGGGCCTGGACCCCACAGGGCTGGGGAGGCCATGTGCAATATGTGGAGGGTTTTCTGGGGCAGTGGGAACGCTAAGGGACAGCATCCTTTCCTATGTACAGTATTTATGTTACTTTTTAGATGAATACTTTCCAAAGCACTTATTTATGCAGTGACCTGGGGCAGGGCGTGATGTGAGGAAATGACAGGAGGATCAAAGCCTGTTCCTGTGTGAGAGGCCACCCTGGAGCCCTAACCAAGCTTTCCTAGAAGGACCAATGCCCATCCGTTACACACACAGACACAGACACACTCTCTCACACACTCACATTCACTCTGCATGTTCAGGGCACTGCGACACTGTCCTAACCCTCCCTGACAGGCTACCCACCCTAATCCAGAAGCAATTTGCTCAAGTGCCCTCAGACATTCAGACCGACCACCAAGGGGCAGTGACTCTCACTGGGCAGTTTCCTAGCTTCAGCGTTTCCAAGGTGGTGGTGCCTAAGGTTCCTTAATTTGGGAGCATTGGTGGGTCTGGGACAGGGCTTTCTCAGGTAAGAGAAAAGGGCCTTCCCTCCTCACAGCTGGCCCTAGCCTCAGCTCCTGCCTCCCCATGTCTTATGCACTGGCACGATGGTCACCTTGGGGGTGGACCTGTGAGTTCCCTTTCTCTGACCACTGAATCGAATCCCTCTCTAAACACCCCATCCTGCCAGGGGCAGGCCCTTTAGGAAGAGCCCCACCCCCAAAGTTGAGAAACTAGACACAGCCTTTTTTTGGGGGGGGTTCCAGACAGGGTTTCTCTGTATTGTTTTGGAGGCTGTCCTGGAGCTCGCTCTGTAGACCAGGCTGGCCTCGAACTCACAGAGATCCACCTGCCTCTGCCTCCCGAGTGCTGGGATTAAAGGCGTGCGCCACCACCGCCCAGCTTAGACACAGCCTTTTAAAAATGGGAAAGTTTCCACTTTGGGGCAGTCTCTCCCTCACCTCCAGGCTGCAGGGATCCACCCTGACCCTCAGCCCCTTGCTTCAGCTACAACTCCAAAGGTCTGGTTTCAGATAGGGTTTGTTTGATTTTGTTTTTCTTTGGGGTGGGTGGGTCATTGCAGTCTTAGATTATGTTTCTCTTGCTACCAAATAGTCATGTATTAACTCTCCTCGGATGATGAAATTTAAAGAGTCAATAAATAGAAACACCAAATGATGGACTCCCCCTCGGCCTTGGCCGTAATGGTCTACTGCCAGCCACCTCAGGGCTCTGTCTCCCCAGGGATGAGGGCTTCCTGACTCTGACTCACGTAACTGAAGGGAGCAGATGAAGAAGAGTGCTGGAGCCATAGGTCAGTGCCAACTTGCTGCATTTCATGAGCAGCCCTATGCCTGTCTGGACTTCAGTTTCCTCAAAAAAACAAAGGATTCTGAATGTTAGAATTACCTACAAATCGTACACATATCAGTAGTTTATCAATCAAAAGCTTCCAAGTCAGTCTAGGTCTGGGCATGGGAGTCTGAAACAGACAAGCAACGGTCAAGGAACCAGAACAGTAGAGGTCCTATCTAAGGCTCTTATGGAGCAGAACTAGTCTGTCTGATTCTGGCCCAAAAAGGTTTGCCATTAAACTCAACTGCAAAGGATGCAAATGCCCAGCAACATGGCCCACTCTTAGGGACAAAGAGCCCCTCTCATGGTGTTCCCATGGGACTTGAGGTGGCCCTCACAACAAAGGATATTTGGTCATGTGACATCTCTGCTCAGTCCAATCCAGATGACTGCCAAAAGAAAATTCAGTTTCTGGGACTGGAACAATAATAATTTAGTGATTAAGAGCGATGACTACTCTTCCAGAGGACCCAGGTTCAATCCCATGCACCTGCATGACTGCTCACAACTGTAACTCCCATCCCAAGGGATCAGAAGTCTCTTCTGGCCTTCAGGGCACTGCACACACACATGGCCACAGACCTACATGTAGGCAAAACACACCAAAGAATAAATTTATGATGAGCAAGTTTCTGGTCTCAAAGGGTAGTTCAGTTGACAGACTGTGCTTGACACGTGGGAAGGCTGAGGTCAGATGATCTTGAATTCAAAACCAGCTTGGACCAGGGGTTGATGGTATCTGCCTGTAATCCCAGCACTAGGGAGTCAGTGGCAAGTATACTTCTGTGAGTTGAAAGCCAGCCTGGTCTACCTACAAGTACTAAGCAAACCAGTGCTATATAGTGAGACCCATTCCCATCTCAAAACGAAACAAAACCAACGACTTGGTCTACATGGCAAGATCTTGTCTGCCCCCACACACACACCCAAAACAGGAAAAGAAAGGGGGACAGTGTGGGTGTATGATTTACAACTCACACACACCCTTCAGGGATCTGCTGGGTCTTCAACACCACAGGGTATGTACAGGTTCACAGTAGGCCTAAAATCAAAAGCATGTCCGTGACTAGAGACCTGACCTGGCAATCACCGGGCCCGGTGATCTAGACGTTGAAGACCCACCTCAGGCCCCTACCTGCCTGCCACTAGTCCAGTTGTTACGTTTCCATCAGTGGCTGTCACCCTTGGTGCTTCAACTGTTTCTGCTACCGTAGGGTTTCTTGAAAGAGGCCAAGAGCTGACTTCCCCTTCCTCGCTAGATTGCAGGGCTGGGTCTGTACCGTCCGCCCGACACAAGCACTTCAGTGGGAATAGGGCTGGCCATTGCACTGCCATTCGGGAGACCACCTTCCAGATCCTGGGCTGGCCTGAGGACAGGTGCCTTTTGGGTCGGGCGCTCAGCCTGTGCCAGTTGGCTGTGACTAGGGAGGTCCTGAGGGAACAGGCCTCAGGCTCACCCCAGGGGAGGCTCCTGGAAGAACTGCCTCCCCTAAAACATGTTTTACAACATGGGCTGTTCATTATAGTTCTCTGGGGGCACAGGCCCATGGAAGGCCAATTAAATGAGAACCTTAGGTCGGACCCAGTTATCAGTATTTTCATAGGAAGCCACTGATGTCTAACATTTGTATGAGAAAGTACAAACCAGTGAACAGCTCAGTGAATGTATGTAAAGGCCAAGTGGCGTCCATCCTCATGGCTCTTACACTCCTGGCCACCAGGCTTGAGGTACCATGGGGTGTGGTCTTCCCAGACATAGAGAGCAGCCTTAAAGGCCATGTATGGGCAGGAGGAAGTAGCACCAGGGTTTGATGCAGGGAGGGGTGCAAGAGCCTGGTGTGAGTGTCCACGGTGCAGAACGGGGAGATGGAGGGAAAGGAGGCAGAGCTGGACGGACGCTCCGAGGGCACAGCATGTTCTCGGCTTCATCCTCAAGCCTGCTGTGCACCCACCATACAATAAGTGCTCGATAAATGTTAAATTCATGGTTATTGAAATAAATGTTGGAGAACCTAGTTGAGACGCAGCTGTGTGGCTTTTTGCTTTTTGAGGTGGGGTCTGTAGCTGAGGATGACCTTGAACTTCCGATCCTCTGGCCTCTACCTCCTGAAGGCTGGGATATGAAGCATGTGCCACCACAGCGGTTTTTATTCAATGCTGGGAATCGAACCCAGGGCGTTACTCATGCCGGGCAAGCATTCTACCACTGGGCTATGTCCCTGAACAGTAAACTCTGTTTCCTTTTGCTGCTTGCTGTAAGCCACAGCTGGGCTCCTCTAATCCTTAATGGTCCTAGAAGGTTGTTGCCACAATTTCTTTTTTTTTAACATTTATTTCTTTATTATGTATATAGCACCAGATGTCTTTATAGATGATTGTGGGCCACCATGTGGTTGCTGGGTATTGAACTCAGGACCACTAGAAGAACAGGTAGTGCTCTTATCCTCTGAGCCATCTCTCCAGCTCATTGTCACAATTTCTGATGAGGAAACTCAGTGTCTTCCTCAAGGTCACTCACCTATCAGGAGGCAGAACTGGATTTACATGTGCTCTGCTCAGGTCTTGACACCCTATGGGAGAGGTTGGGGCTGGGGGAGCCACACAGGGCAGCTGGAGTGAGCAGAACTGCCAGAGTCACATGTCATCACATGGAGGGTTCATATTCCTTGCAACTGCTCCGAGGCTAACTCCTGCTTGATCCCACAGAGGGAGCAAGTCCAAGCCAAACACTATGTCTTCAGGGAGCTGCTCCTGCAGATCCCTTGGGCTAGAGGCAAAGGTCAGGATTTAGCTAGACTGCCTCATAGGGAAGGTGAAACCTGGAGCTGGGACTTTCTTAGTGACCACCACACAGAGAGGCAGGATTGACACTAAGCACAGACGCTAGGCATGAGGGTTTCTTGTGGTCAGAAAAGTCAGGAAATATCTCTAAGGACCGGAGGAGGCAGAAGGCTAGAATAGCTGGCTTCGTCTCACTCTTGGAGTGAGCCTTGGTACACTGGTATAAGTCTAGGGAGCTTGGTAGGAGGGCAGGAAGTGGCTCAGGCTGTGTCTTAGTCCTGAACTGAGCCTGGAAGGCCATGGGGGTACCCAAGGATCAGAACGTGAGCTCTAGCCCTAGCCTTTGCCTGCTGGTACCTGGAGGCAAATTCTTGATCCTCTGCACCCTCTGACCTTCCCATCTTTTGCATGCTTGCCAAACACCAACTCTCTGTCTCTCTCAGTCCTTAAGCCACAAGCTGGTTGCAGGAAGTGGCGAGAGAAAGCGCTATTTTGGGCCCAATTATGGCCAGTGAGGAGTCTTGATGGGCAAAGGCAAGTAGACAGGTATCCAAGGCTGGACAGGAGTAGACTGCAGAACAGACCGGAGGAGGCAAGGGAGCAGGTTTTGAGACAAAACAGTCCCAGATGCTGTGCTTGGGAAGGTGCCCAGATCGAGTACTCAGCCAGAGAAGGGGAGGAGGGGGAGCAGACCGGGGCTCCAAACCCCAGTGGGCCTCTTGAAGCTGATGTGCCTGACATGGACTTCTGCAGATGGTGTACTCAGAAAAATAGTCACTTGCTTAAGGCTACCCAGCCTGTCACTGATACAGCTACGATTTGGCCTTTGTCCGTGTGACACCAAAGCGTGTACTCCTCAGTTTACCCTAATTCCTCTCCTCTAGGCTATGTGACGTCAAACACTTCAGCAAAGCCACCTCCTTCCTAGGCATGGCCATGCACCTCATGACCCCTGACCTGTCCATATGTCCATGTAACTGGGCTGCAAGTCTGACCTAGGTAAATCTAACCCCATCAGCCCCACTGCCTGCAGTCAGTTAATGGCTCTAGATTCCACCCCACCCCCCAGAGGACAAAGAAGCCCTCACCTTTTCCCTCCTGAGCACAAGTCAAGTGGGCCTGTGGGGATAAGATCAAAGACAGCAGAGTGCTGGGCCTCCAAGGGATTGAGTCAGTGAGGCCACAGTTAGGATACAATCCCACCCAGTGGGATTCCAGACCTGGTCTAGGGTCTAGGTTTAAATGTAGGCTGAGCCAAGTGAGTCCTCAGACCCACACAGCCTCATCTTAGGACCTGCCCATCGCAGGGTCCTGGCCTGCCCTAGTCCCAGTTCTACCTTGGTCCTAAGCACCTCCCACTGATCTAAGCCACACCCATAGGGTCTAAGCATGCCAAGTAAGGCAGGACAAAGCATTGAAACTTAAGCCTTGGTGCTGGAGAGATGGCTCAGCAGTTAAGAGAATCGGCTACTCTTCCTGAGTCCAATTCCCCGCACTGATATGGCTCACAACTGTCTATAACTGTCTGTACTCCCATGGCCCCATCAGATCTGATTCCCTCTTCTGGTGTGTATATGGACATGCAGACAAAACACCCATATATATAAATAAATTTTATTCTACTATTTTATTTTGAGACAGGGTTTCTCTGTGTAGTCTTGGCTGTCATGGAAGTCACTTTGTAAACCAGGCTGGCCTCAAACTCAGAGATCCATCTGCCTCTGCCTCTCTGCCTCTGGAGTGCTGGTATTAAAGGCATTTGCCACAGCCACCAGAAATAAAAAATATATACCTTTAAAAACTTAAGCCTGTAATCTGTAACTTTAGTGGGAGCCTTTGGTATCCATGAGTTCTGTATCTTCAGACTTAAACAACTATGGATGGAAATTTTATTTATTTATTTTTTGAAAGAAGGTCTTCCTTTGTAGTTCTGGCTGTCCTGGAACTTACTATGTATACCAGGCTGAGCTTGAACTCACAAAGGTCCTCCTGCTTCTGCTTCTTGAGTGCTGAGATTAAAGGCATGTGTCACCCTGCCTGGTGGATGGAAAATTTAGACTTACAATAGTTGCATCTGTCCCGAGCAGGTCCAAAATTTGCCCATGTCTTTATTCACCAAATAATATTACAAATGTTTACACAGCATTTATGTTGTGTTGGGTATTACAAGTAATCTAGAAAGAATTTAAAGGCTAGGGGAGGACTGGATGGGCTACACACAAGTAAATATTCTATGCATTTTGTACAAAAAGCTTGAATATCTGCAATTTTTGCTACCAACAGAGTTCTGTAACTTGGGAAAAGCAGCAATGACAATACTTCCAGCTTGGAGTTCAGTGTAGCCAGCAGGGGGCGCGCCTGCAGCCACCTGTTTAAAGGTTTCTCCAAATAACAAAATCCTGGTAGCTCTGAAAATGTGACACAGGATCTACCTTTGCAAGCCTGGCACAGATGTGGAGGCCCCTGCCCCTGCCCCTGCCCCTGCCCCTGCCCCTGCCCCTGCCCCTGCCCCTGCCTGTGGGTCACTATGAACACTCATTCCAACCTACTGAGATCTTATGCCGCGGTACCTACCATGAAGCGCTGGAGCACCAGCCTTCTCCAGTTGCACTGTGAGCGGCTTTATACAAGATAGTCTCTGAGGCACTCAAGAGTGAGTGCCAAGATTCCGTGAGGTCACCTGAGATGCCAGGACTTTAGAGAACCTATGATTTTGAGTCTCTTCTGGAACCGAGTGACGCTCCAAGTGCCGTAAAGGTCGGGCCCCAAGTTTGTGACAGTCACCTTCTTTCTGTCTCCTAGCTGCAGAGTGGCTCCAGACTCCTGTTGGGAAGGGCTTGGGAGTCACAGACAGCTGGACGAAAAGCCAGCAAGTCCCACCAGAAGTAAATAATAATTAGGCTCCTTTCCAACCAAGGACGTGGGACTGGGGCGTATACACTCCTGGGAGTCTGTGCTGTGAAGGTGGCTTCCACCCCAGAGAACCAGAGTGACCTTCAGGCGACAGGTTGGGTGCCCCAGTTTTTAGAGGTGCAGACTGACTGGGAGGATTTGACCAAAGTTTCCCAGAGAGTTGTTAGTGGAGATGGGCCTGGACCCTCTTGGGAAACTTAGCCATCAGACCCAAACTTACAATCTATTTGGACTGTTTATTAAGTGGGACCTGAAATACCATCATTTGGAGTTTTAAAATTGGCATACAGAATGCCCTTATAACAAGAAAACATTTCAAAAAGGGCTGATGAACTGCTTGTGACCTGGGTGCAATTCCCAGAACCCAAGTTAAATACTGCTACACATGTCTCAAAACCAGAAGTAGAGGACATGAAGGTTACTCTGGGCACTTCACTGTTCCCCATGGGGGTTTCCTCCATGGGCTGGGATATGGGACCCTGGTATAGCTCCTGTCCCCAGATTTGGGGGAGGGGCACAAATGGCATAGAATGGGATGGGTCTTTTTTTTCCCCCAAAAAAGACAGGGTCTCACTTGGTATCCCTGGCTGGCTTGCAATTTACTATCTAGACCAGACTGGCCCAGAACTCACAGAGATCCGGTTGTTCCTGCCTCCAGAGCGCTGGGATTCAAAGCACATACATGTCAGTAGGTCTGCTGGAATCATGATTTTGACAGCAGTAACCTGGAAGTCTTTCTGCCCTGTCCCTGAAACCTGGACTCAGCCAGGGAAATGGAAACTCTTCCCTCCCTCTCCTCACTCAGGTGTCCAGTTCTCCTCCTGGAATTTCCCAGACTCTGGGGACCTGACCTTTCCTCTGGGTTCTGTGGCTCGGATTCTGACTCAAGTTTGTTTAGAATCCCACCCCGGCCCATCTATTCCCAACAGACCTTTTAGCTTCCTCAATGTCTTTAGTGGGCTGTGATTATCCCGATCCTGGCCAGGCCTCTGTCCTCAGCTCCAGGTCCTCTGTGCTGCCTGAATTTGTTCCCAGTCTTGTTCTCCTGGCCACTTTCGGTCCCTTGAATGTACTGGGGGGGGGGGCGGATGGTGGAGGCTGTGGGCTCTGAGCGGCTACTTCCTGTACTGACACACCATACCACACAGGACACCATTTACAGAGGCAAGAATACAGTGCATAGAGTGCCCAGGCTTCTACAATTATGTGTCATAGTGCTAGGCACTCTTTGTCTTCGTCGTTGTTTTTGTTTGCTGGTGTGTTAGTGAAACAGGTCTCGATATGCAGTCCACGCTGGCTTGGAACTCAGGAGCTTCCTGACTCAGTCCCCCATGTCCTGAGATTACACTTCTACTCCTGGCCTCCACTGGGCATTCTGATGGTTGGCATTGGGGGACAGGAAGAACTGGACAGCTGGTGTTACGGAGAGGAGTGTCACCTGTCCTACTTGGGGAAGGGACCAGCTGCTCTGGAGGAGGGGGTATTTGCGCCAGGTTACAAAGGAGTTGCCTAGGTGAGCATTTCTTACAGACTCTCTTACTAACTAGGTGGGGGATTCTAGAAGCTAGCCTGAGACTCATCCAAGACACTGAGGTCGTTCTCATCGGCAATCAATTCCAAAAAGTAAGAAAATTCCCAGGAATTGGCCGCTGTGGCTCTAGTTACGCAGCCAGTAGTGACAGTACCGGGGTAGCATTCAAGTCTCGAGCATTTTTTCGCTTCATGACACAAGCCGGAGTTTCTTGGTTTAGTGCCCCCCCTCCACCTACACCCCTTTCCCTAAGCGACGAAAAGCATCCCGGTCGCCGTCGCGCGCAGACCCTGCCGTCCCTAGGAAGCTCGAGAGGTGGCGGTGTAGAGCAGCGCGGCCTGGCGGGAGAATCCTGAGCCCTTTGCCAGGGCGCGGGGCGCGGGGCCGCAAGTGGAGGCTCTGACGTCGGGGGCGGGGCCAGAGGCGGTGACGCGAGGGGCGGGGCCGCGCAGCTTCCCAGCCAGGCCGGCGATTCATTCAAAAGGCGCGCAGGGTGCGCGGCCGGCCCCGAGCACTCGCCTAGCGGGGCCCGGGTGCCGCGTCGGACGCTGAGCGGAGCTGGTGCTGCCGGCCAGGTAAGGAGGACGCGCTCGGCCCGCAGCCCCGCTCTGCTGCTCCGAGGAAGTTCTCCCACGCTGCGAATGCGGCAGCCCCACTCTCCTGTCCCGTCCCGGCGCCTCCCGCGTGTTCCAGAGCCCCCCGGCAGCGCGTCCTCCCCGCACCGGCCGCTGCGCAGTCTGTCAGAAGGTGCGCGAGAGGAAGCAGCGGAACTTGGCGTGCGAAGGGTCGGTGGAACCCGGGAACTTGGATTGACACCACAGCCGGCTGCAGGACGGGACGGCGGCGCCTCGGTGCTGCTGCAACGCGGGGCTGCCGGGAAGGGGGGGTTCTGAACGGTGTCAGCCCGTGACTGTGGGTGACACGGCGCATGAGGCGGCCTGGCCCGGGTAAACGTGTGGCTGGGACACTGGGCGGTGACGCCGAGCCTAGCGGGCTACACAGAGGGGCTCTGTGTGTCTGAGACAGGAAGCGTGTATGTATGTATGTGATTGTGTGTGAGAGACCCCAGGTCACTGGGGTCACTGTGTGTGGCCTGCAGTGTGACCCGGGCTAGCGCCACTAAAAATTGTTAGTATAACGTAGAAGAGGAACCTTAAATAACTTGAGCAAGCCCTGAATCACGGGGTCACAGGGTGCGTACGGAGCCAAGTGAAGACAGAGTGTGTGTGTGTGTGTGTGTGTGTGTGTGTGTGTGTGTGTGTGTGTGTGTATCTGCGTGTGTGTCTGCTTGACTCAGGACAGAATAAGGAGACAGAAGGAGGAACCTGACACCTTCCAGCAATTGAGGGGGCAAGGAAGATCAGGAGTCCTGGGAATAAGGATCTCTCGAAGGCACCCTTCAGGAGTTCAGTTTAGTGAGTTGTTTGCACCCAGAGGAAGAGGAGGCCAAAACTGAGCACTGGGTGGGATAGTGCCTCTAGCCCAGGGAAGACCCGAGGTGGTTCCCATCTCCACAGACAGACAGACAGTCTCTCTCTCTCTCTCTCTCTCTCTCTCTCTCTCTCTCTCTCTCTCTCTCTCTCTCTCTCTCTCTCTCTCTCCCTCTCGCTCGTCGTCAGCATCTGGCCAGGCCCTTTTTGTATTCTCTGCCTACTTAGCAGAATCAGCCCCTGCGGGGCCTCAGTCTCCCAGTCTGCATAGAGGTGTGTGAATAGTCAGTGAATCATCACTTTGGGATCCTCTATTGTTTTTGGGTCAGTCTGCTCCATTCTCCTTTCCCTCCAGGCGGAAGGACTGCAGTGGGGGATGGGGGCAGGCTTCTGCTGATGACAAAGTGGTCCAAGGTTTGCCCCCATGTGCTGGTGAGAGGTTGGAAACAGTCTTGCCTGAAGCTTGTCAAGAAGATAACAGACTCCCACTCAAAAGCCACTTGGTCTTTTAGATCCTGAGATCTCAATCCAAAGACTTCTTTTTCAGCTCCCTGGCTGGAGAAAGGGAATATTTGTTCTCCAGCAATGAATGGTCTCTGTTCTGGTCTTGGGGTTCTTGCTAAAAGTCCATCTGGGAAAGACCACTCTGAGGTCCCTGCTCCCACAACAGGGTCAGTGCAACTCATGTAGAGTGGGTGGCAACTGGGCTCCCTAACTCCAGAGGTGGCAGTGGGGAGCTACACCTGACAGGAGTAGTATGTGGAGGTTCTGCTTTCTGTAAGCCTCTGAAAATGCTGTTTGAATTTTTGAGGGGGCAGTGGTGGGCCCTGCTGTCAATACTTTGTAATGTGCTGGGGGTTTTATTTTTTGTTTGTTTATTTTTTGTTTTTCGAGACAGGGTTTCTCTGTGTAACAGCCCTAGCTACCCTGGAACTCGATCTGTAGACCAGGCTGGCCTCGAACTCAGAGATCCTCCTGTCTCTGCCTCCCGAGTGCAGGGGTTAACGGTGTTCGCCACCGCCACCGCCACCACCACCCGGCTATAATGTGCTGTTTTATTGAATCCTTACAGTGGCTCTGAGATGTGGTGACTGTTATAGAGAGAGTAACTGAGGCTTAGAGAACCAGTGGCTTGTCCAAGGTCACATAGAGTCAGGACAGTGGAACTCAAGTCTCCTAACCACCTTTCTGGTAGTTGCTCATGGCTATCTGAGCTTCCATCTCTCACACTTGGACTGGCACAGGCGTCCCATTATGAGTTTGCAGTGAGATTTGTGTGCACACATGGCTGGCAAATTGCAAGTGTGTGTTTTACCTTGTTTTCCTGTCATCCCGTTTCCCCTCCCCACAAGCCGGGGTCACCAGAAAGACCTGGCTCTGAAGTATCTGGAGTTAGCGGCACAGCCCAGCCCAGGGGTGGGAAGGGATGGTGACCTTCATCATGCTTCACTTGAGAGGTCCCCACCCCCTGTCTTTGACTCACCCATTTGCCTTGGTGGGGAGCAGATGGAGTAACCTTGTGCTTGTACCCTCCCCAATCTGGGTCTCTGTCTCCCCATTCTTCCTCGATAACCCTTCTAATTCTGATCACTGCCGATGCTTGACCTGGGGCTGGGGATCAGGGTGTCCCTCAGTCCTCCCTGGAATGATTGGAGCTGTGCTTTGGGGGCTGTTGAAAATAGCTGGTTTCGTCTCCAGGGGCTGAGCCCAAGTTATTTCCATCCCCAGCATAGAGGTAGAAATAGCTCAGGGCCAGGAGAAGGAGAGAGGGGAGAAGGGCTAACTAAGGGTTAACCTTCCCTTCTGGCCCAACCTCTGTGGAGCCCCCCAGCTATACTCTATGCCCCACCAAGCCAAACCATTCTGGGAACTTGGGCCTCTGGGGATGACAGAGGGGCCGAGCTGGGTTTCTATTTGGTGTGGTTGCTAGAGGGATATGCCCGCCATTGGTGCAAAGCATAGAGGGGCTCAACTTACAGAGCCAAGAGTCAGAGCCAGCAGGCTCAGCCCCACTTACACGGGGGGAGAGTGAGCCTCTAAGAATGGCAGGGCATGCCCAGCTCCTTGCCTGGTTGTTGTAGCTCTCCTCTCCACTTTCCCTCCTTCTACTTGATGTCTGGACACTTGGGCGGCAAGGGAAGCAGGTTCTGTCACAGCTTTGCGGCCCTGGCTCTCTTTGCGTGCCCAGCTGCTTTCTTCGGTGTTTGTTTTTCGGTGCTATGGATTGACCCCCAGAGCTGTGCGTGCTAAACTGGTGCTGCAAGGTAGGGCTGGGCTGGTTAGGAAAGCCAGTGCTCTGCATCCCGCTGTGTGCTCCACCCCTATGTCAGACCTCTGCCCTGTCCTCCAGAGATTCCTCAGTCCCAGACACAGGCAAGGAACCAAGGATCAGAGAAGGCACCTTCAAGACCCTTGTGCCACTGGGGTCCAAACCCAGGTCGATGGCCTTGAAGTCAGGAATTCTTTCCTGGGCCACCCACCCTGGGAAAGAAGAGCACTCTATAAATAAACTGCCATGTGGCTCCCAGAGTGTCCCTGGTTGGTTGGCACAGATGGAGGGGCCTTCTGTGGCCAATTAGAGGCAGGGTCCATTCGAGTTTGGGAAGGGACTAAACTTGGCCCTGTGTATGCTCATGGTGGGAAGGAACTGAGAGCCTGTGGGCCCTTCACTCTCCTTACTTGCCTTCCTCAAGCAGCCTCCTCACTGCTGGCTAGGTCAAAAGAGATGGAGAACTGATGGCTGGGTGTGTCCCCTGATAGGAAAACTTCCTGAAGCGTGGAGTGGGGGCTGGGCTCCAGCCTGCTTGTGAAGAGTTGCTGTTAGCCTGTGTGTTCTGGATCTCCCCCCACACACACACCGTGAGGTCAGCTGAGTAGGCACAATTGCCCGAGTGATGGCAGGTGGGGCTGCATGTGAACTGCTGAACTGTCTCGGCTCAGTCCTCTGCCATTCCGACTCTGTGGTCTGAGCTGTGTGGAAGCAGGCACACACAAGCCTCCACTGGTGTGGGTACCTGGATCTCATGCTGTCGAGACTTACAGACTTGGGTTCCTCACAGCCTGCTTTCCGGTACCCGGGCACCTGGGTAGCCTTGACAGGACATCGCTTGTTCTTTTGAGCCTGAGTTCTTCCAGTGGCCCTTGTGAGGCCGGGCCGTGGTGGTGCACACCTTTAATCCCAGCACTTGGAAGGCAGAGGCAGGTGGATTTCTTGAGTTTGAGGCCAGCCTGGTCTACAGAGTGAGTTCCAAGACAGTCAGTACTACACAGAGAAATTCTGTCTCAAAATAAAAAGAAAGAAAGAAAAAGAACTGGTAGAACTTTGCCAGCATTGCTTAAGTGAGATTCCAAATATCCCTTCACATCCTTTGAGGCCCCAAAACTCAAGAGAGACTAAATGACCTGTTCAAGGTCACAGATCCACTCAGTGGCAGAGCCAGAGTTTCAGCTCCCAGATCCTAGCCTTGCTCTTGTTACTGCTGTTGTCATACACATGTCCACCCAGGCCTCAGCACAAGTTCCTCTGTGTAGGGCTCACTCCCCTGCACCAAAACCGAAGCAGCTGGAGAGTGAACTGGAGACCTGTGGTTTCTCCTCAGTCTCTCCCTAAGTCTCTGTTCCAATCAACCACATTGGGGTGATGGAGGAGTCCGGGCTGAGCAGTCTGAGACCATCCCGACTCATTAGCAACTCAATAAAAAGTGGAGGTATGCGGCAGGGCAGCAGCCACACTGACTTCTGGGAGGTTGTAGCAGCAGGACTGAGGGGTGAGCCAGGTGTTTTCCTCCTGGTCCTTGCTGTCCTGTCTTAGGGCCAGACAAGGCAGTGCTGGGATGGTCTGTGGTTCTTAAAGGTTGGTGTAGCTAAAGCAAACCCTTGCAAGCAGCGGGGTACTGGGCGAGGTGACAGCAAAAGCTGTCACTTGTCTCCTCCCCTAGCTTGGTAAGCCTTATTACTTTTCAGGCGGGGCTCTTTTTAAAACTGTGTTACTTGTATTTGTTTCTTTGTATTGACTGGGTGGTAGTGTGGAAGTCAGCCACAACCTACAGGACTTGGTTCTCTAGAGATCGAACCCAGGTCACTGTGTTGGTGGCAGGTGCCTTAGCCCACTGAGTTGTCTTACCAGCCCTAGTCCAAGGTTCTTACTGAGCTACCTCAGCCTCAGTTTCTTTAATGGACCATGGAAGCCTGTGCTGAGAGACCCAGTGGGCCTGGAGAGGACATGGGACATTGGGAGCTCTAGCTCTGTCCCAAGGGTGACTGCCTGGTCTCAGACTTCATCCCCAGACTTGTCCTAGGAAGGAGGGAGACTGCATTCATTTCCTACTTAGACTGGAGGAGCCAGGAGAGCCATATCTGACTGCCTCAGCCCTTTTCTTAGGCTTAGGAGTCAATTAGCCCTCTCAGCCCCTCCTGCCTGCCTTACCACCTGAGCTGCTGAAATGCAGGCCCAGTGGCAGCCAGGAGGTCTGATGAACAGAACAAACACGTCCAGCTCCTGCTGCCTGAAGTGTGGGTAGCATGGGAAGAGAGCAGGGAATGGGGAATGCCCTTTTTCCGTGTAGCCTCTGGGCAGCTTTGTTTATCTCTGGGCGGACAGCCTCAGCTTCAGCCCTAGGAGCTCTTCCTGCCTCTGGGAATTCCCAGACTCCCCCAGTCTTCTTGCTTCCTGTAGTTTCTAGTGTTCTTTCCTGTGTGACCTGGTATAAATTAGCACAATATCCAAAAAAGCATGGGTGCAGGCAGTTCCGAGAGGCCCCTGAAGCTGCCAGGTGGGGTCCACACCTTCTCCAGGCCTTGCCTAGGTCTCTCTAGTAGACCTTCAGTTGAGCTGTCCTCTATCTGTTTGAGCCACCTTCCACACAGTTCAGCGCCAGGCTGCCCGCCATCAGATTGGCAAGCACACTTGAGTGTGTCTGCCTGCAGACTAGGTTTCGGGGTTGGAAAGGCAGAGGTGAGGCAGTCCTGTTTAGCCAGATCTGAAAAGGGGATGTCCACCTCTCTAACATGGATTGGAGGTGAGCCAGGGTGAGGGATAGTCCCCGGCTGAGGTCAGCCCCCTTCTGTAGGGAAGCCAGCAATGCCTAGCAGCCTTAATGGAGCCCAGTGTGGGCACTGCCCTACTTCAGCCCCAGTTGCCAGGGAACCACTGGGTCCTTTGCTAACCTGGATTTCTCTATTGATGTTGCCTTTGTTGCTGCCTGGTGTAGCCTCTGCTGAGGAGGGCCTATGTCCAGCTGTGTTTCCAGGCAACCCTTGCCTCTAGAGGATGCAGAGAAGGCCACCGCTAGGAAGCAGAACCCGCCTCCTTCCCTGCCCTGCTGCAGGTGGGCCCCGATCCTGCCTCCCTTTCCCCGGGTGTCCTCCCTTGGCTGGCAGCTCACCTGCCTGCCTAGAGGCAAATCACTCAGGATTTCGTTTCCTCTGCTCTCCGTGTCAGGGTTCCCACAGGCCCCGGGAAAAGTGCAAGCTCAGCATGAGCTGGACTCTGCTTGCCAGCCTTCCCAGACGACTCTCCTATACCTCCCACTCCAGGGTGGACCCCGGGGTTTTTCCTGTGTATTTCATCTCTTGCTACTCACTGATCACAAATACAAAAGAGAATTTCCCCATGCTTCACACTTGCTGGTCACACATGTGCTCTTCCTTTTTTTAACGTTTACGGATGGGGAAACTGAGGCCTTGTGAAGTGTGGTGTGTGTTTATTGAGGGCTTTCTGTGCCAATCCTGTGTTGAGAACTAAACGTGAATTCTCTCATGAGCCATCTGCCCGGGGCCCCATAGCTTTACAGACAATGAAGAGCACAGGAGGGCAAGCTTGTGTTTAGTGATGTTTCCCCAGGGTAGCCCTGGGCTTCTCCACCAGCCGTGGGTTCCCTCTGGCATAGCCGGGTAGTCTACTGAAGACATTTCTCCTGCTTCTCATTCCCAGTACAGCCCATACCCAGCACAGCGCTGGGCACAGAGGACAGCTTGTGGTGACGAAGGGGGCTGGGCGGATGGCGGCATCGCTGAGGGGAGGGGTGGGGTGGTGGGGGCCTCCAGGAGGAAGTGACTTTGAACTGCGCTCTGGAGGAAGAGTAGGTGTTGACCAAAAGTAATAGGAGGGGTTTCTGGGCAAAGGAAACAACAGGTAACACACGTCTCTGTGGTTTGAAAGAAGCTTCAAGCCACTCAGAAAGAAACCTAAGGTGGCTGGTGTGTCCATGCTGTGTAAGGAGGCTTTTGGGGGGTTTGCTGGAACACCATTCTGAGGGTGCGTGGGGATGCTGGCTCAGGACACACCCACATCTGTCAGGACACCAGGCTGCAGGTAAGGTTGACCTGAAGGTCAGAAGTGGACAGAGGCCTTGGAAGATCTTAGGGAGTGAGCTGGGGGGGCCTTGGCTGGAGCTGGGGGTAAACCCACAGATTCAGTTCTAGGAAAGAGGAAGCTGCCTGATGCCTGGGCAAGCAATACAGCTTCCTCTTTCTGTGAGGCCTCCAGGGCTGCTCCTCTCTGGGGCAGTGTCCACTGGCAGCTTCTTGTGCAGTTTGGAGCCCTGCTGCAGCTTTGCTAGTTGGCTTGTACTTAGGGAATTTCTGTTCTAATTGTTTGGGCACTCTTCCAGAGGGTTAGGTTTAAGAAAGCCCCCCCTGAGTCTCCAAAGCCATTTGGTTGAGGTATCTAGTTCCATGCCTGGGTTGGGGGCTGGGCTTTGTGGTGAATAAAACAGACATTCCTACCCTGACTGCTGTCTGGTTGGGGGACAAACAAGCCAACAAATACTTAATTACCACCTCTGGGGGTGTGGGGAGGAAGTCCCGTGACCGGCTTGAGGCCCATTACCTGGGTTAAGCTTCATGGCAGGCTTCAGCACGGAAGATAAACAACCTATCGTGCAGACGAGGAAACCAAGGCTAGGGAAGCTGGGTGCTCAGGTCCCATTGAGAATTAGTGGCTGTGTGGGTGCCCAGGGCTAGGAGATGGAGGAGTGGCTGTGTGCTAGCTTCCTTCTCTGCTAGAACCCTACCTCTTTAACCCTGTGTGGCTAAGGTGACTCTCCTCCCTCAGGTGGCCTTCTCTCTTGGGCTGCAGTGTTCCCATTTCTGTCAGCTCATGTAGCTAACACCTTAGGAGGTGCTAGGCTTTGGGGGTCTCTCTGGCTGCCTGGCCTTCTCAACAAGAGAAGTGGGGGTGCCTCCACTGACCCCTGCTAACCTAGGGGCTTCTCTGAGCTTGTTTTCCCATGGTTTCTAGGGCAGTAGCTTGGGTGCTAAACACTGGGTGTCAGAGGTTGCAGCAGCAGGTGTGCACGTGTGTGCATGTGCCTGAGCAGGCAGATGCGGAGTGGGGGGGTCAGTCTGGTTGAGAGTGGGGGCCATGCAGCCAGACTGGAGTAAGTGCCAGTTTGGGGGTAATTAGAAGGTGCATAATTAGAAGGCAAGAGATGCTGGGCGGTGGCTGTCAGTGGATATGCCTGAGTGAGGCTGGGCCTCTGGACCCTCTAGGAAATCTCAAGATCACTAGATCTCTGGCCTGTCTGCAGATGAACAGCCACATAACCTCTTCTTGGGTCTCAGGTCACCCAGAAGGTGCTGTGAGGGTCTGGGTAGTCTTGGGCCTCTCTCTGGGGTTTTACCTTTTACTTTTCACCCCTTGTCCTAGTTCTCTGAACTGCCTGGGGACACAAGGGGCCCTGGGGCTGTGAGCACGCCGCAGGGACACCGCTGCAGGGACACCTGAAGACTCGGGGTTTGTAGTCAGGTCTGTGATGGTGAGATCCTCTGAAGGACTGTGGAAGGGCCATGGGTCTGGAGGGGACACAGATCCTGGAAGGGTTTAAGGGACACTAAGGTGCAGAACCTGGAAGGCAGTTTTGTGACAGAGTTTGAGGAGAGAGAGGTCAAGGGATGAGTCAGGAGTGCCATCTGTTGAGTATTGACTGTCACATGTGGCCTTTACCTACTCTGGAGCCTGTCCTTCCCTGTCCCTGGTTTTCCCCTTAGTTGGCCTGGAGCCCAAGAGGGGCCTGTTGCCAGTGACCTGGAGAGTCCCTGGATGATGTGAAGCCAGCTCCTCCCCCTCCCCTGGGTGTAACTTGAATCCCTCACCCTGCTGAGGTCTTTGGGACCAGGCCCAGGTCAGGTGGCAGATAGGTTTCCTCTGCTCCACTCTTGTTTCCAGCCAGGAGACCTGGCTACCAGCAGAAAGGGGGCTCTATGGCCTGGAACCTCCTAGAGCAACAAGCCCTCTGCCAGGCTTGCATTAAAACAGCCTGTGACCCCTTGTCCAGTGGTGGTGGGTGGCTAGGCCTGTGAGCACCCTTGGGTTTCAGAGGTTGCTCATAGCTTGTATTGCAGCTTGATAAGTGTCATACCCCAGTCTGTGACCCTGACTCTGGGAAATACACAAGAACTTTTCTGTTGTCTATTCTGAATCCATCCTGTCATTCTAACCTTGTCCAGAGGCGCTGCTGTCTGGGCAGGGAGCCTCACTCAGCCTGGAGCCAGTGGGCTGGGGAGCTGGCATTGATGATGGTTCTCTGAAACACCTCACAGTGGGACCATTGTATCTTAGTCGGGTTGCCATAGTGTCCTCTGAGATGGAGCTCCCTGTGGACACTGGTGCTCCTAATTCCCCAGTGCAGAAGCATGTCTGCCTATAGGAGGTGCTGGAGAGGCTTCAGGAGGCTTGATGCCAGATGGTCACCCTCCCTCCCAAGTCTGCCATGACACGCTGGCAGGCAGAGACGCAAGCACATAGACCAGGCCTCCCTGGGGAGGTGCAGAGGAGAAACAGGCCTGTGACAGAGTGGGCAGGGTAACCGACGTCCAGAAGTACTTCCACACAGAGGCCTTTGAGTTAGCGTTGAAGCGGAACCTGCCGGAATGAAGGCAGATGTGAGAGTGGCCTGGGAGCTGTGAGGGGTTGCGGATAAGAGCAGGGCTAAAGGTGGTGCAGCCATCCTAGACCCCCAGTCCAGGCTTCCCCAGCCTCCTTCCTCTTGCCCCCCTCTGATGCCTCTGGGCACCTGGCTGTTTATGGAAGGGGAAGGAAGCACTTCCTGCTCTGGGAAACCTCCTGAACTACAGAGCCCTCAGCTTCCCTCCCGCCTCCTCAGTCCTAGAAGGCTGACCCTAAACAGGTCATTTCCAGCTCTGCTCAGATCTGCATCCTGCCACGGAGGGCAAATGCTTGCCCACTACCCAGCAGCAGTTAGGTCGTCTTGAATGTGGCTTGGGGGAGACAGCAGCTGCCTGCCTGCTCCGGCCGCTCCCTGAGCTTCCTTTATCTGCCCTAGGTCAATGTCACTCCGGGGCCTGATGATGAAGCGGACCTTGCTGTGCTGGCCCCTGTCTTGCCTCTTCGTGGTGAGTTGGGGAAGGGCCCCAGAGAAGCTAGAATTGTTAGAATCTGAGATGCACCCCAGCACTCCAGAGAAGGGCGTGCAGACACTGCCCAAGAGTCTCAGGCTCTGCAGACTTAAACACTGGCCTCTTTCTTAGAAGATCTAACCTGTCTACTAGCACTCCCGGCTGTGCAGTCATGACCCTGTAGAGACAGACATAATCTCTTCTACCCGGCTCAGCCAGGGGTACAGCTTTCCCAAGCAATTCCCGCATGGGCTGGAGGGATTTCCTAGCATTTGCAGGCATGGCTGAGGGCAAGGCGGGGGCCTGAAAGAAACTGAGTAGTGTCTCATGCTGGATGTAGGGTCTGTATTAGTTTAGGGAGCTCAGATTCTGGGGCTGGAGCCAGAGCACTTGGGGTCTGTGTGCTCTGTGTGGTCTTTCTGCTGTGGCTCTGGAAGTTCAGGGATAGCAGGCTGAAGTCTCCCGGAGGCAGCCTTCAGCCTGAGCAGGTGCTGGTAGCCAGGTCTGACATTGTCTTCAGGGTAACCTGCCCTGCTCCATGCCTGGTGTCCCCTAGCCCTGGCAGCTGGGGCCAAGTTGGAGGACAGGGTCTTCCCACAGCAGGAGTCCGGCAGATAGTCCATTCATTTGAGTGGGGAGCAGAGTGAGGTCACCAGAGAAGGGTTTAGTAATCCACATCTAGAAGAGCCTCCCTTTGGGACGTGGCATGCCCTGTTTAGGCACAGGGTATGAATGGGGTGGCCTTGGCACAGGGGGAGGTCACAGAGGAGGATGTGGTCTCAGACTCAGTCCAGGCCCAGAATAGTAAGTGAGCACCAGCTGCAGCCTCGGCTGCAGGCACGATAAACAGAGGATAGTTAATGACATGCCCAGCTTGGGGGTAGGGGGTGTGCAGCAGGAAGGGAGACAATCTCAGAGGAATTCAGAAGCATTTCCTCCTCATCTGTCTGGGGTGAGGAGGTGTAACTCATCTGAATGAGCTATAATTCAGAGGCTCGAGGGCTTGAGGTCCTGATCCTGTCTGGGGCTTTCCAGCATTTTCCAGGAGCAGATGTAATTCCCTCTCTGCCTAGATGCCGGCAGTGTGGTGGAGTGGCTAGGCAGGCTCTCAGAGTGCCCTGTGCTGGGTAGGGAGCCCGTGTGGTCTGCGATTCATGCTCTGTTCAGGGTGTAGGGAGTGAGCAGATGACTCTGCAGGCCTCGTGCCTAACCTGTTCTCTGTCACCATGTCTTCTGTGTCCCACCTGCATTCTTCCAGCTGCTGCCCTGGCCTCTGGCCACTCCAACATCAGTAACTCCTTGGCTGTGTCCTCCTGGCAAGGAGCCTGACCTGGTGAGCGATGTGCTGCCCTGTCCCGGGAAGAGTCACTCCTGACGGCAGAGGGAGGCCTCCATCTCGATGCTCAGGCTTCTGGCCTTGTAATCTTTTTCCTCTCCCACAGGACCCAGGGCAGGGCACATTATGCCGACCCTGCCTGCCAGGCACCTTCTCAGCTTCATGGGACTCCCATCCATGCCAGCCTCATTATCGCTGCAGCCTTCGAAGGAGGTTGGAGGCCCAGGCTGGCACAGCAACTCACGATGCAGTGTGTGGAGACTGCCAGCCTGGGTAAGCACAGCGGGAGGGTAGGGCTCATGCTGGCTTCTTGGCCACTGCTCCCTGACTGGCCTCCCTTCCCTCCTGTGACATGGATGGGTGGCACCATTGAGGGCACTTGGTAGGAAGGAATCCAGCCTTTGTAAGGACAAGTTTTTACTTCTGGAGCTCAGTCGCATCTTCCCTCCCTGCAGATGGTTTGGGCCTCAGGGAGTTCCTCATGTTCCGTGTCAGCCATGCTCCAAGGCACCTCCAAAGACTGGTAGCTGTGACGGTGAGTGGCAGGTGGGGGGGTAGGAAAGGGGATCAGTGAATTTGAGCCTAGGAATCCCTGAAGCATCCATAGGGGGACAGGAGGGTCCTTTCCCAGCCCATAGGGGAGCAGGCAGCCAGAAGGTGTCCAACAACATGGTCGGCCACCCTGCTTTTGAGTGATTGACACCATCCAGCATCTAACAGCTGCCATTAGGATCGGAGGTTCATATCCCATGTGGTCCTGCTGTCCCCACTCCCTCCAGAAGAGCCCTACTGATGCATATGAGCACACATACATGCCTTTGCACATACCTGTGGACACACAACTTCTCACCACAGAGCTACTAATTCATGTGCCATTGTGAGGAGGAACCCTGTGTCCCCTTGTCTAGGAGTATGTATGCTGTATGTGTTTATCTGTTCACTCCATGCACACCTAGCATGAGGGGCAGATGTAGGTCGAGGCCCAAGGAAGCCTCACTGGGCAGTTGATTGGATGGTCAGGGAAGACGGCATGAGCTGGCTTTTGTCTCCCTGGTGTGGCGGGGTGGGCTGTCTTAGGGATATCAGTTTTCCCCTAGCTTGTGCTCGGGTCCTTGGACTTGCTACCATCACTCCTGCTCCTAGCTTCCTATCCTGACCTACGCAGGCCTCCCAAGGCTAGGCCAAGGCAGGATTAGGGCGAGATTGCCATGTGTCTGTGGTAAAGTGGGCAGACACGGCAGGTCAGGCAGAGAGCCTTTCTGGGGCTGAGGAGGGACAGTCCCAGCCTAGCAACTTGTTTGTATGTTTTTCCCTGCTTCCTTGTTTCCATCCTCTGGTGTTCAGAGTCAGGGCGGCGGGCCCGGCGTGGTGTGGAAGTGGCAGCAGGTGCCAGTGGCAGTGGTGAGCTTCAGCAGTCTGGGAATGGCACCCGGGCAGGCGGCCCGGAAGAGACAGCTGCCCAGTATGCGGTGATTGCCATCGTCCCTGTCTTTTGCCTCATGGGGCTTCTGGGCATTCTGGTGTGCAACCTGCTCAAACGGAAGGGCTACCACTGCACGGCCCACAAGGAAGTGGGGCCCAGCCCTGGAGGTGGAGGCAGCGGTAAGCCCTGACTAGGTCCGGGGGAGGTGGGGGCTTTGGAGGGGACCTTCCTGGTCTCCGGGTCTGACAGGAGAGGCCTGCAGAGGGCCAGTCAGGGAGGCCTCCTGGGGTGCTGTGCAGCATCCTTGATGGTATCGGTGCAGACTGACAGAGGGTGGTAAGGGGCTGAGCTGTGGCAACAGGCAGAGGGAAAGCCGTCAGCTGTCAAGTGGTGTTGGTGGGGTCCCTGCCCTGGCTGAGGCCCTGCTCCACTGTAGGGTTGGAACTATAGGGCAGCAGGCTCCAGTTGTCTGGTTCAGAGTGACCTCTGACCTCTGGTCTGGAGCAGGAGAATGCCCTGCATCAGGAGGGCTGGCAGGCACTGTGCTGGGCTCAGGTTTCAGCTCCACTGTGGTTTGAGATACAAGAACTGAAACCAGAGGGAGAAGGCCGTGGACGGATTGCTTCTCTTGCTGACCAAGCCTCCTGAAGGGTAGAGACCTTGTGGGCAGATGCACTTCTCTGGGCCCTCAGGAGCCTTATGGCCAAGTCAGCAGAGACGTAACCTCTTCCATGCCGGCTTTCCAGGGCCCAGCACTGAATTATGGAGGGAGGGGGCAGGAGTGAGCAAGCCAGGGCCATTTTTAAATTGTTTGAATGTTTTTATTTTTAATTAATTTTATGTGTGTGTGTGTGTTTTGCCTGCATGTGTATGTATGTATGTATGTATGCAGCAGGTGTGTACCTGGTGCTTAGGGAGGCCAGAAGAGAGTAGAAGATCCCCTGGAACTGAGAGCAGAAAACAGTACTCTTACCCACGAGCCATCTCTCCAGCTCCATGTCAGGGCCATTTTATGTAGGACTGTACTTTTCTGCTAGCCGAGTGACTCTGACGGTTGGCTACTGCCTGGGTACAAATTTTAGAAATATGCTGCTGGCTCATTGGCCCATTCTCACACCCTCGAGGCTTAAGCCCAGAGCTGTTAAGTAGTTCCATGGAGAGGGTGGAGTGCAGAGAGGTAATGGACCTGGAAAGGTGTTGGAAGTTCTAAGCACCGAGAGTCCATAGCTCCTCAAGGCCAAGGAAGGAACAGTGCCCACCCAGAAGAGGCTGGTGCAGTCTGCGGGGATGGGGCTTTAGATGGTCCTAAGAACACTGAATCCTTGGAGCTGCTGGGTACAAGATAATAAAGATGACAGCATACCTTCAAGTCTATTTGGGCCTGTGGGTCTTGTCACCTGAATGCCACGGTGGAGTCTGCTGCAGCTCTGAACAAGGTCTGGCGCCCTCTGCCAGCAGATCCTGGTGTAGCTTGGGAGCACGAATCCCTTCTTTCCTAGATCATGGATGGGTTCCTTTCCTTCTCTCTAGGGATCAATCCCGCCTATAGGACAGAGGACGCCAACGAGGACACCATTGGGGTCCTGGTGCGCCTGATCACAGAGAAGAAAGGTGAAGAGAGGGTCTTTCTGTTTCAGCCCCTGCCTGGGAGTGGACAGTCTCCTTCTGGAGCCTTAGACGATGTTTGGGAAAAATCCTGCCTAGCTCTGCCTCCCCAGACCAAAGCCTAACTGGCGCGACCACCCTTGGTGCAGGGTGCTTTTGCCTCTGCTCTTGACTGCTGAGGGACAGAGGAAGAGCACATACATAGCTCAGGCCCCGGGAACGGATGTGGGAGTGGGCAGGGGCCATGTGCTGAGTGTGGGGCGGGGCGCTCGCTCCTTCACTCGGGAGCTGCACTCTGACTCCACCTGCCCACAGAGAATGCAGCGGCCCTGGAGGAGCTGTTGAAAGAGTATCACAGCAAACAGCTGGTGCAGACGAGCCACAGGCCTGTACCCAGGTGAGGGAGGGGCCCGCAGCTTGCCTCCTAGGGGCCCCCCTTGGGTCTGCTCCCTGTCGTGTCACCTGTGTCCCTTTACTTGGAGTCTGCTGCCCTGCTTGCCCCAGTGTCATTTCTCCTCCTGCAGGCTGCTGCCGGCGTCTCCCAGCACCCAACACATCTGCCCACATCGCCACCACCTCCACACCGTGCAGGGCCTGGCCTCGCTCTCTGGCTCCTGCTGCTCCCGTTGTAGCCAGAAGAAGTGGCCAGAGGTGCTTCTGTCTCCTGAGGCAGCGGCTGCTAACACTCCTGCTCCCACCCTCCTGCCCAACCCATCTAGGGCTCCTAAGGCCAGTGCCAAGACAGGACGTCAGGGTGAGATCACCATCTTGTCTGTGGGCAGGTAAGGTGGGCACGGGCATAGCAGGGTCGGGGAATAACTGGACGGCCTGGAGACAGGCAGGTCCGTGGGCCAGCTGAGTGCTGACTGTCCTTTTCTGGGTCTCTCTGGGTAGTGCAGGTGGCCAAAAAATGCCATCATTTCCTAACTATGCTATCTCACGTGGATATTGGGTCCCTGAGTCATGGTGTTACTGAAACTTAGGCTAAGGGTCTGTCCACCTCTAACTAGATGTGGGGTTGCTGGGAGCTGGGCACAGTTTTGTCTCTGGGGTCTAGGAAGGGCCCTTGTACAGTGTGACAGGCTCCATCTCTGATCTTGAAAACTGCGTGTCACCTAGTGGGTGTCTTCTCTGTCCTAGGATCCCTTCTGATATGAGATGTCAGTACCGCCTCTCCCTACAGGTTCCGTGTGGCTCGAATTCCTGAGCAACGGACCAGTTCATTGTCATCTGAGGTGAAGACTATCACGGAGGTCGGGCCCTCGGGAGGTGATCTTCCCGACTCCCCACAGCCTGGTCTTCCCCCTGAGCAGCGGGCGCTGCTGGGAAGTGGTGGGAGCCATACTAAGTGGTTGAAGCCCCCAGCAGAGAACAAAGCCGAGGTGAGAGCTGGGAAGAAAATTTCTGTTAGCATCTGAGTCAACCCTGACAGAACAAAGACCCAAGGAGGCGGTAGGGGGAGCTCTAGGTATATGCCACTTTTCTGAAGCCCAGATGGCCTCCTGACTCAGCTCTGCACCCTCAATCCTGATCCCTAGGAGAACCGCTATGTGGTCCGGCTAAGTGAGAGCAACCTGGTCATCTGATGGGCTGTCTAGAATTAGACACTCTGCCCTGCCCTGGGAGGTTCTGAAGGCTTCCTCAGGAGGGAGAGCTGCAGCTGGGACTGAGGACCAAGATACAGCAAAGGCCAGGGCCTGGAGGTGGGGCCGTCCGCCCCACTAAGGAGGCAGCCTGGGGCACAGCACGTGAGCAGGAGATCAAGAGCCCACCCTGTCCCTGCAGCCTGTTACTTCCCTGCAGGGCGCCCTAACCCGGTGCCTGTCCTGAACACATCATAGGAGCCCTCTGTCCCCTAGGAGTCTGGTTTGGTGGAGGAGTGGTGTCTGTACCTGGTCCCTAGCTTGTGCCTTGGGAACTAGCACTCTTGCCATATCCTGGACCCTGGACGTGCCTCCCTCTCTTCTGGCAGGCCCCCCGAAAGGGAAGGGGTAGCGAGGAGCCCTGCACTGGTGGTGGAGTACTTGGGTTCCAGCTTTCTAACTGTGAAGTGAGGGAGCAGAGCTCAATTCCCAGGACCTTTCCAGTTCTTTGCGGGTTCTGGGTTGAGTCCTGTTGGGGGGAGCTTGACGTGGCTACCCTCCCATTTTAGTAGCTTTATCTGGCCTGTTTTTGCTGCTTTCTGGGCCTTGGCCTTCAAGGCTCCCATGGGACTATTATGGCAATGCCTACAGAAGGGGCTTAATGCATGTGCCTGCCCCTACCCTGCTATTTTTAATGAAACTGAAAAATGACCTGACTTGTACAAGGCTCTGATGCAGAGCCCCAGGCCACCCTGCTGCCTTCAACTCTGGACCTGTGGGAGAGGATGGCAGGCTAGAGAGTGCCTCTGGTCTGTGGTTTCCATGCACCTGTGGTAGTGTCTGCCTGAGCTTTCGGTAGCAGGGGTGACTGCCAACCCAGCCTGTCTTAGTCTCTGCTCTGGCGCAGGGCCTGGTTATTTATGTGGGGCTGCGCAGGCGCGGGACCCACTGCCCATCCCATTTCTTATTTATTGGAACCTGCTGTCCCTACATCTCCAGCCCCACACACTTGAGTAATAAAAGGTGGAAAGTGGTATCATGAGATGCTTCCTTTCCCTGTTCCCACCCTGGAAACCTGTTTCCTTACCTCATGCTTCCAGGGGCCTGGCCAGGTGCACTACGTAGTGTCCTTCCCCTCATAAGCACCTTCCTCTGACGCCAGGGAGGTGGCTCGTTTGATTCTCACCAAGGTCCCTAGAGGCCAGGCTTCCCAACAGAAATACAGACTGGGCCGTGTGTGATTGAAAGTGTTCTAATAATCATTCCAAAAAGGTTTTTTGTTTGTTTTTTTTTAAGGTAAAGTTAATATTTTTAACTCAGTATATCCAGAATGTTTTAATTACAATATAAAATAATTATGAAAATTATGAACAGGCTTTTTTATTTTTCAGTATAGAGTCTTATGTATTTTATACATCTTGATGTGAACTAATATATTTCAAGGTCACAGGAGCCATGTGGTGAGTGGCAACAGCTCTACAGGAAGCAGCAGTCATGTAGAAGCTCAGGAGAGGGATGTGCAAAGGCCAGACCCACAGGTGGGAAGGGCTGGAGGGTCCTCCCCAACGAGTAGGACGAGGCAAAGCCCTGGTCCTCTTGGTCACAGCGTAGAGCACAGGAGCACCTAGAGGGAAGCTGTTAGAGCTGTGTGGGTAACGGTGAGGAGATTCCTAGGGCTGACCTGTAGAGGTTCCTTATGACTGTGAGGCAGGGGATTAGCTCCTAGTCACGTCCAAGGTGTTTTGATGTGAAGCCTCAGAGCTCTGGGAAGATAGGTCTGGGTGACAGAAATAGCTTACAAATATTCAGATGGGTATTTACAGCCAACTGGGCAGGGAGGGTCCATGTTTTGGAAAAAAGTCTCAGGGCAGACCCTAGGGCCTGGCAGTAAGAAATCGATCAGGGTCCTGGTGGCCAAGAAAGGGTATAGTTTGGGGGAAAGTTTGGCTGAGAGGCCAGAGAGGCGGTCATGTTCCCTGGGTGAGGGGTGGATAGGGCCTTGGTGAGATTCCTAAGGGATGTGGTGAGAGCTGAGCCAATGCCAGGTAAATCAAGGGGCACCATCCCATACCAAAGCCACATGGCTGGTGGGGCCTTAGGTTAGTTTTGTTAATATGGTATACTGTTTAACATGGGAGAGAGTACCAGATGGTGGTGCACACCTTTAATCCTAGCACTTGGGAGGAGGCAGAGGCAGGCGGATCTCTGAGTTCAAGGCCAGCCTGGTCTACAGAGTGAGTTCCAGGACAGCCAGGGCTACACAGAGGAACCCGTTTTCAAAGGACAGAGTAACACAGGCCAACACTACTAGCTGTCCCATAGAGGCTAAAGGACTAGAACCTGATAGAACTTGTGTGGTGTGGAAGCCTGGCCTAAAGGAGGGGTCCAGGTGGCTGTACTGGGACTTCATTGAGGACAGCTTTCTGGGCAGAAACCGAGGCTTGCCTAGCAGTGGTGGGAATGGAGGTGACAAAAAGAAAAGCCACCTTTGTCAGGATGGACACATGCTTTGAGTGCCCACCTGTCCCTACTTCCCCATACATCCTTGGGGGACCCAGTCTTCTGTGGGACTGTGTGAACTGGGTGTGGACAGTGTCCCTTGGTGTACTCAAAGAAATGGCCCCTATGGCTGTAGGGCACACTTGGCATCCACTTGCTGTATCTCAGGCTTTGGCTTCTTAAATTTGCCCGTCCCTTCAGCTAGTCCACTCATGCACCCCACTTATCTAGGATTGGCTAACACAGCCCACTTGGGTGGTGTATAAGGATAAGTGTGTTTCCTGGAGGGCGAGGCGGGAGGTGGGGCCCATCCATTCTCTGGGAAGCCTAGATTAGAGACACACTCAGATACCAGTTGGGGTGGGAATAACACGCTTAGGCTTCCAGACAGGCAAGGGCGCTCCTATCACCATGAGCAGTAGATTATGCTGCTCCGCTTGCTGAAGGAATGACTTGTTTCCTCATTGGCTTCTTGTGCCATGCAGTTTCCCAACATCAGGACAAAGCGGTGAGAGATGATGTGTGACAGCCCCACCTTCTCTTGGAAACTTTCCTACAAATCCCTGCAGCCTTCTCAGTGGGTAGAGGTGGGAGCTGAAGGGAAGAGCAGGCATTGGGGTTCAACGTCTAGCTCTCTCCCCTCTCCTAGACAACAGCCTTGCTGCTGTGACCTAGAGATGAGCCTAAGCTGTTCCACCCTATCCCAGATAAGGCTCCCTCTCCTCCCTTCACCAGGTGCACGATGGATCATGGACAGAATAGAAGGCTGGGAAGGGTATCAGGCGACAGTGAGGGTTGGTGGGAGGTGTACCAATTTCCAGTCCCGCTCTAGCATGGGCCAAGGTATGTCCACTGGTCCAGTAGGTCTGTCCCCCACCCTATTGAGGATTCTACTGGTCCTTGCAGTGTTGGGATGGAATGCAGGGCCTTACCCAAGCTAGGCAAGCTCTGTCTTGGTGCTGCATCTCTAGCCCTTGGAAAGTCTTCCAACTATTCAAACATCACCTTCTGCAATATAAACATGGTGGCGGACACCCGGCTTCAGTCTCTTGGAGTGATCACTTTTGGCCAGTTTTTCCTACAGTTGAACATACTGAGTCTTTGGCCTGTTAGTTGTGGAACATGAACTGCCAAGGCCAGGCCCTGAGAAAGAAAAGTGGTTGGGTTGCCTAAGAAACCAACCCTCTTGTGGTTTGAATGAGAACGGCCCCATAAGACTCCTTTATTTGAATATTTGGTCCTCAGTTTAGTGCAACTGTTTGGGAAGGATTAGGAGGTATGGCCTTGTTGGAGGAAATTGTCACTGGGGGAAGGCTTTGAGGTTACAAAAGCCCATGCCATTCCTAGGTAGTTCCTATGTGTTCTCTCCCATCTGCTTACCTACTTTTGGATAAAGATGTGAGTCCTCTACTGCTCCAGCTCCAGGCTCCCCACCATGATGATGGTTATGGACCTTTGAAATTTTAAGGCCCAATAAACTCTTGTGTAAGTTGCTTTGGTCACAATAGAAAAGTAACTTAGACAAAGCCTGAGCAGCATTCGCAGTAGCGTCACCCTGAAGGGACAGGAGATTCAAATGTACAGGAGAAAATAAAGAGTCCTTAATGACTCCTTTTATGAGGCCCTGTGGATGTCAATGGCCCTGCAATAAGTCACCAAACTCCCCTTGGTTTCCTGACACTCCTTCACTGCTTTGTGAGGAGAAGACCCCATCCTTCAAGAAACCAACTTCAGGCTGGAGAGATGGCTCAGAGGTTAAGAGCACTGCATGCTCTTCCAGAGGACCTGAGTTCAATACCCAGCAACTACATGGTGGCTCACAACTGTCTGTAATGAGATCTCGTGCCCTCTTCTGGAATGTAGGCATACATGCAGGTAGAACACCATAATAAATAAATCTTTAGAAAGAGGAGAAGGAAAAAACAAAACAACAAAAAAACACCTGAGATGGGCAAACCATGGACCAAGTATGAATTCCAACTTTCCTGTCATTGCTCTCCCAGCCCTCCCATACGGGACAAATAGCAGAGCTTCTCTTGCAGCAAACATGAGGACCTCAAAGACCAACAAGAAGTGAGCAGCAAGCACCAGCCATAAGACACTCAGCGATGGCAGGGTTTACTTTTCTTTCTTTTTTATGCTGCAGGAGCCCTCCCACACAAGCACACCACCACTGAGCGGCTCTCCAGCCTACATGTCAGCTCTTTAGCATCTTCCCTGGGTTCCATCACATTATCTGGTCCAAGTGCTGAACCTGACACTCCACAGCATCCATATACTGCCTGATCCTAGTCCCGAGAAGACAAGTAGCACAGAGAGTCTTTCTCTCGGGTGTGTATGGTTTTTATGTGTATGAATGCCTGCATGCAAGTGTACCCTGTGTGCCTGGTGTCCCAGAGACCAGAAGGCAGCATGGGATCCTCTGCAACAGGAGCTATACATGGTTGTGAACGACTGTGCTGTGGGTCTTTCTGGACCTCTGTGAGAGCAGCCTGTGTTCTAACCCCTGAGAATCTCCCCAGGAGTTTGAGACAGCCTTCATGTTGCAATCCTACCTTAGTCTCCAAAGCACTGGGGTTCCAGGTGTGTACTCAGGTGAAAAGCAGCTTAGACTTGCCTGGAGGAGAAGCGCAGGCACTCACTGGCCCGAGGTGGTCTGTGCCTCCCTCACCCAAGAACCACTTTTTGTTGTTGTTGTTGTTGTTGTTGTTTTTTGGGAAACTTTTTTTAATAATTGTTGAATGTTCTACAGCTTACAGTAAATATCATATAGTTACAAACTCTTGGCTTCAACTTTTCAGAATGATCACTATCTGATCTTCAAAACAAAACAAAACCCAAAGGAATCCAAAACAACAAAACCAGATTTACACTTCATACACACAAGTATGGCCACAGGGCTTTCCAATCTTTACACTCCAGGCTGTGTTTTGAAAACACCTATAAATTATTTGATCAAACTACTTGGAAGACACCGGTCAAAGGTTTCTTATTATAATTATTATTATTTTTCAATGCTTTTATTTGTTTAAAATGTGAGTTCCAATAAAATTTAAAAATTAGATTCCAACCTGTAGGTTAAAATGAATTAAAAAATACAAAATCATACACAACGCTCTCTTCACAGAGATGTTACATGCCGTGAGAACAAGCTTCTCTGTCATGTGATATGAAAGAGGGGTACAGATGCCTTGAAGACAGGAAGGGGACAGGCCTTGGGCCTTCGAAGATCAAAGATAACTCCAAGGTGCAGGGGACCTTCCCTTGCCTCACCTTGTAAGGAGCAAGACAGATCCAGTGGATCTGGCTGACCTGAGGTCTCTGGGCCAGTCCTACTCTTTACTTAGTCTGACTTTCATGCATGAGGAGGATGGCTGGAGCCAGGATGGCTGAGCTGGGGTCGAGGATAGAGGATGCAAGGGTTAAGCCCAGAGCAGGTTTCACTCCTTTGATTCCTGTGGGCTGCTGCTATCTGTAAAGCTGTTTTATCTGTTCCCTTGGGAAGGAAAATTGGCCCGCAGGCTGGAATGGATAAAGGGACACACTGCTACAGCAAGGATACCTAAGGACTACTGATGTAGCTGCCACAACAAAGCAGGTGCTGCTATGTCCTTCTTTGGCTCTGTGGCAACCAGTCTCAACTGTTCTTGGCTGGCCTTGTGACTGGCATCAACAGTTGATATATTAGGAAATACCCACAGGAGAAACTGAGGGAGTGGGACCCAAGTCTGGCTCAGGTAAGTCTGGCCATGGAATGTTAAAGCCGGCCTGCTGGGAATGTGAAAGGCTGAGTTGTGGAACCACATAATGCCAGATTTCACCAGTGTTTTTTCTTGGAGAGGGAGCAGGGGTAGGAAAGGGCAAGCCTTTTGCCAGCCTGGAATATTCATAGAAGCCTGTCCAGAGATGTCCTATGAGCCTGGCTAAGTTTCTCCCACTGATTTGCTCTTCTTTGTCCACTCCTACCCTGACTGCCCTTCTCTAGATTCCCAAGCTTGACAAGATACTGGGGGCTACACACTTGGTGCTGACATGGTTAACACGATATGGAAAGGTAGAGCTCACTGAACATGAGTCACACATGGGATGACTAACCAGCCAGAATGCTGAGAAGACCACAGAGCCCATAGCAGGGGCAAGATACCTGATATGCAGGGAACTAAGTCACGTTCAGCCAATGCCTAGTTTGATGTGTCATGTCTGCAATAAGGATGCCAGAATGGTGACCAAGGGACTTGTCCTATTTTGTGCTCCCCATGACTCATTTCTGAAGGCTATTCAGGACAGAGCAAAGCTTTCCAAAGAAATCTCTAGATCTTACATGGAATCATCTAGATGGCCACAAAGCACTGGGCTACACAGAGCCTGGGACCTGGTTCTCACTGGTGAACAAGCAAACCTGAGGACTCCAGTCCAGACATGCTTTCAGTTCAGGCTTATGCCATGTTCTTTGAAGTGCCTTGTTGGATCTAGACAGGAGTCAGAGAGTCGGTGTGTGCAGCCTTCCCAGAAGCAAGACTCCTCCCTCAAAGATGCCTGGCACTGACCTCATCATCCTCAGTACTGGGCAGTGTCACCTCTGGTGTTCTGAGTTAGGTCTTTTGTGGCAACTTCTCAGCTGGATCTATCTCTGGGTCCCCAGGGCCCATTACAAGTCTCAGCCTAAAGCAGAAATTCTCAAAAATCTGCCCAACTGGTACACAGGAACTCCCGCAAGTCTCCATAAATTCTTCCTCTGTGTTGGGCAGCAGGTTTCCCTTTCCTTCTCCAGACAAACTTACACTCAAAGAGACCCAGCAGGAAGAGCAGATGATTAGGAGTTCAAATCCTGGCTCTTTCACTCATGAGCTATGTGTCCTTTTAGCAAGTCTCTTACCCTTCAGAACATCATGAACCCCCACCCCATCTTTAAAGTCAACAATTTGGCAATCAGTGTCAAAGTACTTTACATACAAAAAAGAAGTCTGGACAGACAGATGTGTGTCCCTGATGAGTACTCAGGGAAGGGGGTATGCACTTGAGTTGTCAGGACAAGAAGGAAGAAAAACAGTTGTGTTTGTAAAGCATGGCAAGACTTTCAGGCTTTCACTCACTGATGGTAGTCCAGTTTCCAGACCCAGACTTCCTGGCCCAGGGCTGATGAAAATGGCCAAATAGTGCCCAGGGAGGCTGGTGAACAGAGCTACCTCTACCTCAGCTTTGCACTGGGGAGAGGCAGGGGTGTTGATAAGGTGTGTGTGTGGTGATGCCAGTGTGGCAGCTCATGGTGTCATGTGCACACCCCTTGTCCTATGGTGAGGGGTCCCTTCCAGCTCCTGGCCTCATCTATTATGACCACTCAACCATCCAGAACCTTCAGATGATACCTAGGGTACTCCTGCTAGGGTCCTATGGCCCTGCCAGAGCTGTGCTCACCTAACTTGAGGTACACACACACTGTGCTCTGGGGCTCAGTCACTTTGCTATGATTCTCCAAGCTTGGCCAGACTTGTGATCTCTGTCAAACAAAATGGTAAGGCCATTTGAACTGGGCTCTTGTGTTCTTACTGAGAAAAGGTTAATTGGTTTGGTTCCTCTAGACTATAGCATGTCAATACTTGATTTTCACCTTGGAGCCTTTCTGATCTTGAATCACAGACTATGTCTAAGATGGGTACAGAGCATAGATGCTTCAGAACATGAAGCTGTGTGTAGATCAGACTTGGAGAAACTAGAGCCAGCAGGGTACTCCTTACCAGAAAGTCCCTGTCCTTTTCTGAGCCTTGGGTTCTCTATGCATTAAATAGCAGGCACCATGCCTTTATCTCAGGAATAAACCACATGAATGGTGAGGGGTACAAATATCATTTACATACAGGTGTGGAAAGAACAAACGATAAGAGGTCATTTATTCCTAGGTCTCCTTTTTTTTTTTTTCTTCTATTAGGTCACCTGAAGGCCACAGGGTCTAGGAAGCCTCCAGGATTCCAGCATACAGCTCACTTTGGGCCATTTAATTTCCATCTAGGATCATTTCCATCTAGGATCTGTTTCTACATTTCCCAAGTGGGCGGAATAACTGACCCTGTGGCTTGCTCTCAGGGTCAGCCCATCCCAGGCCGTGAAGTGCGTTGACATCTATGAAGCACCTGACACGTGCAAAGGTATCCTATAATTATTACTGCCATTATTATTTTGGCATTTTTCAAACATAAGACAATCTATAGCAACCTTCATCCACCTCTACAAAACCAAAGAGGGTAGGAGGAGGCATTGTAAAAAGCAGACCAACACTGGAAAACTTTGTTTTAAAAGAAAACCTGTCAGCACCCCAGAGCAGCCGAGTTTTCTCTTCCTGGTTCTGAAGTTCCTGGAAGGTCAGGAAAGTAGGAGCCTTAACTTCTGGCTCTCTGCCACAGATACTGATGGACTCTGATCTCCTGGGAACAGTCAGACTGTTTCTGAGGTCACTCCAGCTCAAGGGCTTCCATTTTTATTCCTTTAGGGGAATATGGGAAATTGGAGGAAGGTGATGTCCAAGTTCACATGAATTTAAAATGAAAATAGTTGAGTCTCAAACGTTACCAATGATCCAATTTTACACAGTAAGGTACTCCTTTTCCACCTAGTGAGGCTATTGGCTCTGCTTGTCCCAGGAGTCCCCTTTCTTCTGCTTGGCCTCATCCTTGTCCTCCTTTTTTGGTGGCGCCCATTCTTCCTTTCTTCTTGGGATAAAGGGTTACTCTCCTAAGTGCGCAGCCTCTTCCAGCCAGCCCACCTGCTCCTTTTCCTAGAGGTGGAGTCAGGCTCAGGATAAACATTCCAGATGTCTTCACAGGCTTTCCAAATAAATGTATTTCTGTTCCTGTTATCTGCCCTACATGGCCTCTGCCTAGTCTTCAACCCCCACCTTTGGAGTCCGTGAGGGAAAACAGCAGAAAGCAGCCCAGAGGTTATTCCAGAGCTCACCAGATGTGGGCACTGCTGACTTAATTTTTACAAAGCCAAGCCAATCCATCCCTTGCTAAATTTTTGTAGGCAAAATGCCAAAAGGTAGGAAGGCTGCATTTAATGCTAATTTACTATGAGGCTCAGAGAAGTCCTTTCTGCTTCCCCGGGCCTCAGTTTCCTCATCTGTCAAATAGGGGAATGGGTGAGATGATGAATGCTAAGGTCCCTTCAGTTCATGAGTATGAAATGATTATTGCTATTGTTTTTCCTTCACTATCCTGACCTTCAGAACCGCCAGCTCCCACCTGGAATGTGGTTCCTTCACTTTGGCCGTGAAATGGCACAAGGTAACCAAGAGCTTGGCCTGCCTGCCAGCCCCACAGACAGACGTGTGAGCCCCGGCGCTGGGAAGGGCAGAAGGAGAGAAATGCCACTGTTCCACTTCTGAGGGGGAAGCTCCTCAGAGTGGGGCCACACGGCTCGGGCTGAGGGTGGGATTATGCAGGCACCTGGCCTTCCAAACCCTGTGGATGCTTGGATCCCACCACCATGCAACTGTTTGGCAGGTCTGAGGTCAAAGCATCTCTGGAGGAAGTGCCAGGTCAGTTAACATCACTGTGCAAATCACAAGGTCCAGGCCAGCAATGTGGCCAGAAACCTTTCAAACCAGAGCTGAGTACCCTCTTGCCCTTTCTTCATACTACTTCCCCAGTTCCCTCCCCCCTCCCTCCCTCCCTCTCTTCCCCCTCCCTCCTTCCCTCCCTCCCTCCCTCCACCCTTCCCCAGATTCTCTGCTTTCCCAGGCTCTGAGCCTGGGGACATGAAGCTGCTGATAACATTCCTACATAACCAGGTAGTTTGTTCTTAGTCTGTTGCGATGGTTCTCAGAAGATATTTCTTTGTATTTGAACTAATCTTGCTTTAGCAAAATGACAATCTGACAGAGATGTGGCCTCCTTGTTAGCTCCAAGTTCCTACCCCAGACCTGAGGGCCACATCTGTTATGCTCTCCAAATGAAATCTAGCCTTTAGACGAACCATCGCAATAAACCTCACTCTCTGCTTGCTACTAGACTGGGATCCCAGGGACAGGATGCTCAGGGAAGGAAAGAGTGCAGAGAGGACTGGGCCTGGCCAGGTAGGAAGAGGGGCTAGAGCCAGAAGGGCAGTGGCTAAGAGGGAGGCACGAGGGGGAGGCTCCTAGGAGATTAGAAAAAGCAGCTTTTACAAAAACCAAAAATAAAAATCAAAACCATTAAAGATGCATAAAGTGACCCTTGCACTTCCGTTGACTCTTCTTGCAAATAGAGGTGGTGCTGTTAGGGGACTGCTCCAGCACCGGTGTAAGACTTGAGTAGTTGCATACAATGTGACTCCAGATCTGGGGGAGGAAGGGACACTATTAGAGAGACACTCCGCAGGCCACTTGAGAAATCTCTGGGCCCCCTTCCCCCATGCCTTCCCAGGGGAGCAGCAGGCTCTCTGTCCATGGAAATCATGTGAGCTGCTGAGGACAGTGAGGGAGCTGGGGTCAGGGTCTCTACTTGGCTACAATTAGAGCTGGTATATGGTTTAGACAAGACTTCATTTGAAGAACTGAGTCTCTAGTTAAAAGACATCTGAAGGCCACAGAGAGTATAGAATTCAGTAACAGAGGACAAGAGCAAGTCCCATCTCAATTTTAATTGGCTAAGTGATTTTGAACTGTGTATTTTTCTAAAAAGTAGAGCTAAAGATCAGAGCTACCATGAGGACTGTAATGTTTGTAAAGTGATAGCTAATATTAAGGGTGACATTAAAGAACCTTGAGTAGGTAACAAGTACCTGCTTTTATGACACCTGTGCTTCAGACTCAATTCCTGTATGTGTCCCTCCCTTCTCCCCTGTCCCTGGCCCTACTCACTTGGATGGGCTGCAGGCTTTACCAGTGCGGGGGCACATAGCTGTACGCAGGGGTTCCTTGGGCCCTGTACGTGGGCATGGAGACAGGGTGCGCCCCAATTGCAGTGTGCTGGGGTGTGGTCAGCAGGGTACCTGGGCGTCGAGAGAAAAGAGGAAACCTGAGTAACCTCTAACCCACAACATGGGTACAAGGATGGAGAGGAAGAAAGCAGTCTTTTACATGACTGTTCTTCTTGTCCCTGTACCTATTACCCCAGACTGCCTGGTTAGCAACATCCTTTCTGCACCTTACCAGGCTGGGAGACAGAATCATTATTCTTAGGAAATTTCCCTTTTATTTGCATGCTTTTCTTATTGGACACATTGAGTAGGTAGGAACGGTTATCTTTCTTGGTTCAATCTTCTACATACACACACGTAGAGTTTAAGGGCAGGGCTCTGTTCTGCCTTAAGGACCTTTCCTTCCCAGGACCTTAACAACAGGCTGGCACTGAGCAGGCACCTAGTAGCTTGTTTGTGTACTGAGCGCTCTTCCTTCAGATGGCAGCTTAGCTGGTTTTTTAAAACTTGCGTTTCTGTAAGGTAGTCACAACCCTCTGATTTTCATGCCCCTCGTGGGAGTGCCAATGTTTCTAAGGCTACACTTCCCACCTTTATCCCCAGGGTTCCTTAAGGGCAGGTCTTATCACCAGAAAGGGTCTCCAGGGACTCCTGTTTCTCTCAGCTCTCACAATTCATGATAGGAATGGTCCTTATACTCCTGTCTGCTGATTAACAGTGTGCCTATGTGTTCTTCCCTGGGCTCCCTATTGCCACTGGAGGCCTACTGCTAACATCTCTCCAGTAATTTCTCCTGATCCAGCCTACAGCCAGTTCAAACCCCACCCTGTCTCTCCCCTACTGCAAGCTCTGTTAGCTCCCTCACCTGAAAACACTCAAGCCTTCCCACAATCATGTCCTCACCAATGGTGGCAGCCACTCTTCCGCCCCAGCACCATTTCCTACAGGCCTTAGCCCTTTCCATCCTGAGAATGTATTACCACACTTTGAGCCTTCTGCTTGGCCTCCATTCACCCCTACACAAGGCCCTGCTCAATATGGTCACCTTGTGTGAAATCTTCCTTATTCCTTCAACTAATTTAGACTCTAAATTAGACCCTAAATTTCTAAATTTTAGAGGTCCCCTCCTTGGCTTCCTGGGAAGCCTCCTGCCCTAGCACATGATTTCTCATGCTGGCTGCAGCCAGTTCCATGACTGTTCTCCAGTGTGAGGGATTCCTGAAAGACAGTGAGCGGTTCTTACCTGCTGACATTGCCATGGTGGTGCCTGCTACCATGCCCATGGCCACACCGTTGGTCCTGGGAGCAGCAACAGGAGCTGGGTAGATGGCAGAGGGAATGCTGTTGGGCTGGACAACTGTGGTGTGGTGGATGACATGGGGCTGGGCGGCATACACAGGCTGTGTGTAGTAGGCTCCCTGGGAAGAGAGGCTGAGGTCACACGGGTTCGTGGAGAGAGTAGGCAGGATGAGGAGAGGAGAAGGGGCGGGGAAGCTGCCTTCCCCAGGCTTTAGGCAACCAGGGAACAGAAGCTCTGGCACAAGTCTAGGCTGGGGCTCTGCTTTGTCTCACTCTGCAGCTGGGTCAGTTCAGTGCTGTGGCTTAGCTCGGTGAGAAAAATAACGTCCCCTTCACTCTATCCTGTTGCACCCTAAGGTGGCTACAAAGAATTAGTGAGTAAGAGCTTTTTCTCCTTTAGCCTTGGTTTTAACATTTAAACTTTTTCAAAATTTGATTCGAAGGCTCGTCTACAAGCTGCCCCTAATTTAACAGTAAGGAATATAGTAAGTTTCTCAACATGGGGACACCAGAACACTGCCACATAGGCAGAAGCACTATCATCATCATCATCATTATTATTATTATTATTATTACTTTGGTATTTCAAGACAGGGTTTCTCTGTATTGTTTTGGAGGCTGTCCTGGAACTCACTGTGTAGACCAGGCTGGCCTTGAACTCACAGAGATCTGCCTGCCTCTGCCTCCCGAGTGCTGGGATTAAAGGCGTGTGCCACCAACGCCAGGCTCAAGCAGAAATATTATTAATGGCATTCACACACTGATGTGAATGTTGTTGGTTTATGTTTGTTATATCAATATTGGGTAGCATTTCCCAAGGTGTCTCTAGAGTGATATTCCCCTTCCCAGATCACATGGCTCTTCTTGGGTGCTACATTTTATGGCCTCCTGAGCTCTGGGAGCAGACAGAAGCATCTGAAATTAATTCAGAAATTCTCTGGTTTTAATAGTTAATAATAAAAGTCTCACTGTACCCTTAGAGGTTAGAGAACATAGGCTAAGATACTATGTCAAACTTGAGAAAACTTGATCCAGGCCTCCTGTTTTTCTATTTACTTACTTATCTATTTATTTTCCAAGCAGACTGGTCTTGAACTCACTATGTAGCTGAGGATGACCTTGAACTTCTTCCCAATTATAGGATTAAAGGCACATGTTGTCATGCCCTAGTTTTGTAGTATACTCTGCAACACTGCTAGTTTAAAAGAAAATGTTTTCTATTAGTTGTTTAAATACATATAAATAAGTGTGTGTGTGTTTTGCCTGCATGTATGTCTGTGTGCCACTTGCATGGAGGCCAGAAGAGGACATTGCATCTCTTGAAACTGGAGTTACAGATGGTTATGAGCTGCCACGTGGGTGCTGGGAATCAAACACAGGACTTCTGCAAGAACAGCAAGTGCTCTTAACCACCAAACCATCTCTCCAGCACCAGTATAGCTAGTTTTGGGTTTTGTTTTGTTTTTGTATTTTTCCCAAGACAGGTTTTCTCTATGTAGTCCTGGCTGCCCTGGATCTTGCTCTGTAGACCAGGCTGGCCTTGAACTCGACAGACTGGCCTGCCTCTGCCTCTTGAGTGTTGGGATTAAAGGTGTGCACCACCTCTGCCTGACAACAAAGCTAGTTTTCAAACTCCAAACATCCCTTACCATTTATACCTCATGTAGAATTGTCATCTCAGAAGAATGTGCCATGGCCATGTTGGAGTCTCAAACAGTTCTTCCCTCTTGCCTCCTATAGCTACACATTCTCCAGCAGAAGAAACCAAAATGGGGCCAATAAGACACACTAAAGAATCATTCACGCCAGGCAGTGGTGGCGGATGCCTTTAGTCCCAGCACTCAGGAGGCAGAGGCAGGCAGATCTCTATGAGTTCAAGGCCAGCCTGGTCTACAGAGCAAGTGCTAGGATAGACTCCAAAGCTACACAGAGAAACCCTGTCTCAAAAAACAAAAACAAAACCCAAAAACAAACAAACACAAGAATCACTCACCTTAGGTCACAGTGGGCACTGGTAACATACGTTGGATTTTTTTTCTTTCCTGCTTGGTTCACAGATTTTATCAAGGGAGGTGTGAGATTAAAAGAGGGGAGATCAAGACAAGTGATAGCACAGCCTGATCCAGCCAATAACTCACTGTGAGACCTCAGACAAGCGTTTCTCCTCTGCAGTCTCAGCTTCTCTACTTGTTCAACAAAGGAGTTGAGCTAGATGATTTCTAATGGTCCTCCAACATTTGGGGCTCTGCTAACCTAAATGACTTCATGCTTCACCCTTTGGAAGTGAGGCAGAGAAGGCAGTCTTGCGGGAATATTGCTTCAGTGAGGATAGCTGGCCAGACCCATGAACTCTCTTTTCTCTTCCTCATCCCATGCCACCCCATCCTTGCTGGAGGCTCCTGCAGAAGAGGTCCTCCATGTGTACCTACCTGGGCATACAAATTCTGCTGGGGGTAGGCACTTCTGATTGGATACATGGCCGTCTGATAGGGGTTGGGTGATGGGGAGTAAGGGGGTGGAGCAGTATTACTCTGGGTCGGTGGGACCTTGTATGGTGTCCCTGCAGTATATCCTGTACCAAGGCAATAAAAGAGACCTCTAGTTAGTTGGCAGAACAGCACTGCTTGAAGGCAGTAGGCACCCAGTACCAATTCCTCAAACAAGAATGGGTTGAATTCGTCTGGAAACACAGGTGAGGTCAGACAAGAGAACAGAGCTCACCCCACAGCTGTGGCCCCAGGCAGCTCCCTCAGTCCTGGTGAACACGGCAAGCATGATTTGGGGTTCTCTGAGTTTCAGGGCTCTCATCCAAAACAGAAGCTAGAACCAAATAGTTTCTACTGGACCCTTTCAGCTGACAGACAACCTGGAGTTCTGAGTTGCCTGTGTAGAAGGGCAGATATATACTGACAGATGCCCGTTTCCTTTTGCTATTTTCTTGTTCTGGTTCCTCACTTAGCATCTCAGGATATTTTCTGTTGTCAATTCTCTCTCAGTCTTACTTCCCTTGTTCTCTAACTCCTTGGTTTTTGAGTCAGGGTCTCATTATGAAGCCCAAGCTGGTCACACATGTGTATCCTGAGTGCTTCATTCTCTCTTTTTCTCCTCTTATCTCCCACTAATGAGCTTCAACAATCATAGTCCCTTGCTCTTCACAAGTTTGAAGGTTAAAAAAAAATTCAAAAAACAAAACAAACAAAATCATCACTCAAAGATCCTTATCTTCTAGGATGTTGAAAATTGCTCTGTAGAGCTGGCCTTTTCCTTCTTTCTTATGGCTTGGAGAAGTGTCACCTCTGCCCAAACACCTGAAGTTAGGAATCAGGAAGACACACAGTGACTAGAACCTAGGCTATGTCTGTATCTCAGAAGGATGGACAGAAACAGGGTTCACAAGTCAGGACAGGAATGGGGATGGTGCAGGGTAGAGCAGGGTTTTGTTGAAAGAAAAGAGATGTGGGCTTAGGTCTGGCTTTCCTCCAAACGTGGATAAATAATGCCAAACCTCTAGACTTTAGTTTTAGGAGGGGAAAGGAAAAGTTTTTAATAATAGTGTAAATGGTGAATTTCTAAGATAGAATATGTAAAAGACTTTACAAATTTGTTTTACACGCCTTTAATCCCAGCACTCGGGAGGCAGAGGCAGGAGGATCGCTGTGAGTTCGAGACCAGCCTGGACTACCAAGCGAGTTCCAGGACAGCCTCCAAAAGCCACAGAGAAACCCTGTCTCGAAAAACCAAAAAAACAAAACAAAACAAAACAAAAAAAAAACAAAAAACAAAAACAAATTTGTTTTACTACAAAATGTGCGCATGTTCGTGTGTGTGTACCTGGGGTTCCCCACATACTAGGCATGTACTCTACCACTGGACTATATCCCCCCCACTCTTTTTAATCTTATTTGAGATAGGATCTTATTATATTTCTTAGAATGGCCTTGAACTCACTTTGTGACTTAGTCTTGCCTCAAACTTTCAATCTTTGTACTCCAATCTCCCTAAGCTAGGACCATAGGCTTGCACCAACCACCAGGCTGAACAACCTACCTGTTTCTGCCACAGTGGTAGTTACAGGGACTATATGACCCTTAAACCTAAAATATCTATTATTTTGTTCTTTTAAAGAAAATGTACTGACCCTTGATTTAAAGGTAAAAAACAAGATATGAGGGTGCTGGGGATGTAGCTTCAGTAGCAGAAATCTTAGCAAAGCTATGTGTTTGATCTCCAGTATAGCAAATAAAAAACAAAGAGACATAAAAAACAACAACAAAACAAAAACAAAAAAACAAAAGCCAAAATAAAGATGTGGAGGATCTTGCCACAATTTAGTGTCTTTTCTATACAGGATACCATGAATCAGAAGCCACCTGTCTCCAAATGCACTACGTACAGAGCAGTGGTTACAAGTAGCATGGGAACTGACTAACTGAATGACTGACTGGGCCCGTGTAAATTGGCTATTACTTTCTTTCTCACTACACAGAGACAGTAGTAAGCTTCTCCTAGGGCATACAAGCACTGACTGCTCTTAAAAAACTACAAGAGGCAAGACCTAGACTGTAACGATGGTCTGTTCCAAGTTGGAACACAAACTCCAAGGCTCCAGGATTCTAAAATTTTACGATTCTTTAACAAGCCAACAATACAGGCAGCTTTCTTTTATATGCCTGGAGAACATGCTCTGGAATTTCTAGCTTTCCCAGGAAAGGTACACTACCTCATCTAAGCCACAAAAACAACCACATTACAAAGTGGGCTGTCCTTTGTCTTTGGACAAAGAGAATCAAAAGGCTCTAGGAGAATGTGGTAGAATTTGGTTTCCACATCTAAAAATAACCTTGTTGGAGAATGTTTCCCTCTCTTCATGTTATGAAACAAGACATACACGCTCAGAATACAAATCAGTATCTAAACAGCCATGGCAGCCAAAGAAAGGCTGGTTAGAGTCTGCTTTATATCTCTAGAAGTTTGGGATAGGAAGCAGAACTGCAGAGCTGGAGGAGATCTGGAGTTCTCCAACATGAGACCTTCAGAGATGAGAGATAATACATAGAGAGTGACTGCATACAGAAGCATGCTGTAGCCACGGTGCATCTCAATGTTAGCATCAGGGGCAGGAGGATCTTCCTAAGGTTGCAGAAACCACCTAAGCTCAGGCCTTTTTCCTGAGATCCTTTCGAGTTAGCCTCCTGTATTGGGAGTTTCTTCATTTGGACTAGATCATTTCAGAGGGCATTTTTGATGCCAACATTCTAAGTCCTTAGTATTTCAGTAGGACTTCTATGAGGACATCATCTGCAACCTGTCCACATTCCTGGGGAACACTTAAAATCTAGGGCTAATGTCCTGGACTTAGATGTCATATAAGTTAATGTTTATTACTTTGTGTATCTAAGTAAAAGAATCTGTTGAGTTTGTTGCAAAAACATCTCAAGGATTTTTACTCAAATAAATTTAGACCCAACTCATTCCCCGGAGGGCTAGCTACTTTGAAATGACGGCCATAAAATGAGAACTTAAGGATGCTATCTATACCTTAAACGCATTTGGGGCTTCCATTCAAGCCTCTTATATTCTGAGGAAGAACCTGTATCTTAGAAATGCAGCAAAATTTTCAAAATTGCACAACATATCTACAGCCATAGAAAGCTGGCTCTAGAGGTCAGAGTTGATGCTGCCCTGGGCAGAGCTGTTTCTGAGTTAAATGTTTCTATAGTACCATATTGGGCATCTGGTGTGCTGGCCTTTGTATCCTGTTTCACTGAAGGCAGTGTCATGAGACAAAGAAGTTCTACAACTAGATGTGCCAACTCTGCCTTATAAAGAGGTCTTGTTTATGATGCCTGCCTCTTGTTTGTCTCGGGTTCCTAGCTAGTTTTTGACTATGTCAAATGGGAGCATACAAAGAGACTGCGTGCATGAGCAAGATAAAGCCTCTGTAGCCCTCTCTTCAACCCTGCTTCTCTGTCATAAATAAATTCTGTTCAGTTGTAGAGCCCCCACTACCTTCAAAGACATTGATCTTCACATCAAGAATGCCTTTTACACTAATTGGTTTATTGATCATCAGATTTATATATGGGGCAAAGTCTGGACAAAACAACACTGTATGTCTGAATCTTTTTTTTTTTTCTGGTTTTTACGAGACAGGGTTTCTCTGTATTGTTTTGGAGGCTGTCGGTCCAGCCTGGCCTCGAACTCACAGAGATCCGCCTGCCTCTGCCTCCCGAGTGCTGGGATTAAAGGCGTGCGCCACCACCGCCCAGCCTGTATGTCTGAATCTTATCTTGACCTCTAAGTCTCCTTGTTGGCGGTTAACACTAAAGCACTGAATAAGTAGGAGGGATATCTAATTATGAACTGGCTTTAGATTTAACAAGTACTGGTTAAATTGGTGGGAATTGGTCAAAGTGTCCTCAATGTACTGTGGTACTAAAAGGCAACAAAATTTGAATGCTTGGAGGAGCTTTTGTGAGCCTGCATGAGTCAGTCAGATAATCTCAAATCCATTTAAAAAATTACAACCATTTATATATTGCTTGCTTGAAAGAGTGATATATTTTGTCCAATCTAGAAACTTGACAACCTGTCTAGGAGGGATGAGCAGGATGTGACTACTGGACATATCTGTGGGACTTTTAGAAGAAGCAAGGCATTCTGACAATCCAAACTGCCTCATGTAGGAAGGACTACCTTTGGAAGGAATGAGCCCTTATTACTAGAGATATGTGAGCAAAGCCTCGAAGGCTAGCTTACTGACGAGGGCAACTAGAGACGGAGGACTTTGTGAGAAGGAAATAGGTACATAGCTTCAAAGTGAGAGAATCAGGTCCAATAGCTAGCAAGGACTTTATAAGTGACCTAGTCCAAGGCTATCATTTTACAGTTCAAGAGACTAATAACCAAGCATAGCCATGAATTTTCCAAAGTTATATAGAATCAAGTCTAGAGTCCTCTATCTTCCACACCAGACCTCTTTCTGCTGCACTGTAGTAACTGTGCCTTTATTCACCTACACCCACATTTGTGGAGTATGTACATATCAATTTACTTTATATAACTTTAAATATGTTCATCCAGTTCTTCTTGAGAGACCTGGAAAAACTCTCGACAGCTGCCATTTCTCTCATTACTCTTTTTGAGACCAAGTCTCACTATGTAGTTCAGATTGACCTAAAACTTGCTATGTGGCCTAGGTTGGCCTTGAACTTGTGATCCTTTTGCTTCAGCTTCCTGAGAGCTGGGATTACAGGTGCTGAGCTACCATGCCCACCTCATTTGCCTTTTGAAAGAGGAAAACCAACCTCATTGAGAGGAATAAAATATTAATTTGAAAGTTATCTTTTTCCAGCTGGGCTGCCATATTAATTATATATACAGCATTAGGCACATTGCCTTTTTGAATTTTGTGCACTTTCAAAGTGGGATAAAAGTCCACTTAAACTTTCATAGGACTATAATGTTGACTGAACAAGGGGCTGATTTTGAAAGCAGAATTTACAAAAAATACACCATTCTGAGTTAATAGATTTTGACATGTGAGGACACAGACAACAGGGAGAAAATAACACTGGTTTTGTTGTTGTTATTGATAATTTCTTAAAGAAAAGAGCTCAAAGCCGGGCGTTGGTGGCGCACGCCTTTAATCCCAGCACTCGGGAGGCAGAGGCAGGCGGATCTCTGTGAGTTCGAAGCCAGCCTGGTCTACAAAGTGAGTTCCAGGACAGCCTCCAAAGCTACAGAGAAAACCTGTCTCGAAAAACAAAAACAAAAACAAAAAACAAAACAAAACAAAAAAAAGAGCTCAACATGTAGCCTTGGCCTAGAAATCACTATGTAGACCAGGCTATCTTTTATCTTACAGAGAGACCCACCTGCCTCTGCCTCCTTAGTGGTAGGATTACAAGCATGTGCCACCATGCCAGGTTTGACACTGGATATTTATTATTTTAAAAGATTTGTTCTTATCTTATGTGTATAGATTTGACTGTGTGCATGTATGTGCCCCATATTTGTGCCTAATACACAAAGAGGGCACTGGGTTACCTGAACTGGAGTTACAGATGGTGGTGAGCTGCAATGTGGGTGTTGGGAATTGAACCTGAGTCCTCTGGAAGGGCAGTCCATTGCCCTTAAATTCTGAGCTATCTCTCCAGCCCCAACACTGGATATTTTACACTTGATCTCAGCCAAGAGGCTGAGAAGCAATGACATTGGATATTTAAAAGAAAACAAATTCAATGAGTTTTCCTAGTCTACCTAGTAAGTTACTTTTCTACAACATTCTTCTAAGGGCTTGTCCAGCTCCTGCTGGCATAAATTCAGAAACCAGTGCTCATCATATCCAAAGACAGGCATTCTCATGCCCAACAGTTGCCACGGGCACGGGCACAAGTTCTTCCACTCAGTAGTTTCAAAATGATGGTCCTTTGTGTTGCCAATCAGCTGTAAAGGTGACGACATCAGTTACCTCAGGTTGAACATAACCCATCTGCTTCTGTCCATGTCATACCATGTTCCCATAGTGTAATTTACATGAACTAGGGCACTATTTCTTATATAAAGGGCAGTTTTCTTCTCCAGAGGAATACTGAGTCCTATCTAGAGACATTTCTGGTAGTGACAATGATGCTTTGCTACTGGTATCTAACAGAGAGAAGCTACAGTTGCTGCTAAACATCCTACCATGCATAGGAAAGAATTCATCTGTCCCAAATGTCAGTAGTGCTAAGGTCAAGAAACCCTGTGGATGGGAAGAGACACACAAAGCCTTCAACTGTGCCTTGATCTTTTCCCCTAAAATGAAGTAATAGTCTTTCACAAATCCAACTTCTTGGCCTGGGGTACTCCTCTCTTGCTGCTGTGGATATTAAAGCTGAGGGCATGATCAAAGATGATCATCTTTACTGAATGATAAAGCCAAATTTTTTTTTGCATGAGTAGGAGAACCTCTTAAAACAGTGTTTATACTAAAAATGTCATTTAAAAAATCCCCTTTCCTTTCTTCTTAATGAACAAATCAGTCCCAACCAACTGGAACAAGGAGAAGAAGAGACAGGCTGTATTTACTGAAAGCTGCAGAGGACGCTTGGTAAGTTCGGTTCTCGGTCCCGGTGTCCACTGGAAGGTGGAAGGTGCCTTCAGTGCCACAGGAAGATGAGTTCTGTGGCCAGGCCTGTTTCATCAGCAGAGTGGCTTAAGGGAAGACATAAGAATGGCATTAGGCAGAAGTAAGGTGTGGGTGCCACCAATTACAAACACAAAAGCAAGAGTCTTGTGCTAGACAGAAACATAACTCAAGGAGCCTGCTCAGACACACAGAATGATTCAGCCTTTTTGAGATGGGATAGTGGGTTGGAAGGAGTGCTGAAGTGAGCTTCCAACTGACTTAAATCCAAGGAAGCCTACACTTAAAACATGGGTTTCCTACCCATGACTAAAACCATGAAGATGCCCATGAACATTTCCATCTTCCACCTGACCTTCTGATCTAAAACTGTAGTATATTTCTCTACCACTTTCTCACTAACATGAAGTAACTTGGAATTCTTTAACAGTGTACTGGGCTAGATTAACTGAGTCTTAAGAATATTCCCTCTGGTCTGAAATCTTAACTGGAGGTATGGTTAATAAATTGTAGGTTGCACTGGGTATGGAGGTGCATTCCTTTAATTCCAGCACTTTGGAGGCAGAGGGAGGCAGATCTCTGTGAGTTTGAGGCCAGCCTGGTCTACATAGAGAAACTCTGTCTTGGAAAAACAAAAACAAAAACAAATGGAAAAAAAGTTGAGTTGCTTCCAAAGAGAAATTAACAAGTGACTACCATTTTACATGAGCCTTGCAGGGACAGCATCTCCTCTAACAGACTGAGCTGTGGTCATGGCAGCCGAAAAGGCCTAGGCTCTGCACTATTAGCTATTAGCTAGGCAATGAGCACTCCTTGCCAACTCCAGCTACATACCAGCCAGGGACAGATAAATATACTTTTTGCATATGTCTGTAAATCTCCTAATAGGTGCTACTGGATGTTCCACTGAGACAGTGCCTCATGAGTTAGAGATGATCCTTTGGCCATTATGAAAGTGTCAAAATTGGGGTGAATGTTACAGAAATTAGTTTGAAATCTGTAGAGACTTTCCAGGACAGCTCAAAGCTCAACTTGAGAAATTTCATTAAGTATTCTAGAAGTGGGGAATAACTTTAAAAACTTACCGTCATGGTATCCTGAGGGAAAGGAGAGAGAGGAAATGGGGGGGGGGTGCCTTAAAAAAAGAAGAAGAAAGAAACAAAGAAAGAAAGGAAAAGAAAGGAAAACCATCCTTTCAAATACTAGAGGAGACACATTTTTGGTCCAAATTTCTATTTTATGGTTTAAAAAAGGATGAATTGTTTTCTTTATAACATCTTTTACATTCTAATAAGATCTTGGGAGTTTTGGGCACGGTGTTTTAAAGTATATTAACAGAAGTGGGGCTGGACTGGCAACAATCAAATGAGGTAAGGAAAGACAGGGAAAAGGTATGTTGGTCATATTGATTCCTACAGGGTCTGCTACCTCCAGAGAGATTCTACAATGCCTTTGCTTCCTGGTTTACAACTGTTCCTTCTATCACAGAATTATACTGGCTAGAGAAGGCTGTGGATTCTGCTGTTTTTTTCTGTACTAGAATCAGAATGTAGCTGCAAAGGCTGATTTTGCTTGCATTAATGGCCCGCAATATATACAGCAAATGCTGAGGAATGAGAAGGAAATCATGGGCAGGAAAGTGACACTAAAAGGAGAATCTGGCAAGAGAAATGGAGACAGCACAACTCCATGTAGAGCCCAGAGCCTTTGCTAGACAGCCAGACACTGTTGTGTAGCCTCTGCAGGAGGAGGGAATCTGCTTTTAATAAATATCTTTGGTGTCTTTCTCCAGAGAGTGGAAGGACCCAATTAACTGTCAAAAAATCTTATCACAATATCTCCAAATTCAGAGATAGATATTCCATATGGCTGGAAGGCCACAACATCCCCAAACAACTCCCTGTTGTGTCAAATATGTAGCTCTGAGAAGCCAAATAGAGCGATTCCATGCCTTAAGATCTCAATGAGGCTCTACCAAAGACCAAGAGGTCTAAATTTGGCCGTAATAATTTGGAAAATTTAGAGGTCCTGATTTGTTCCATTTTTTTCTTCTTCTTCTTCTGAGTGGGGGTATACTTATAATTTTCATTATAAGCCAAAAGTCTGACAGTTGCCTGAAGGACTGTGTGACAATGGAAGTTAAATCAAAATTAGCCACAGAGTACTAAAGCCTAACTACACTTAGCACTGAGGGGAGTGCCACGGTGGACAGGAACACACGTGGGTTACATCACTGCACACAAGGTACTTACAGTCTACTGGGGATGCAACTCAGCCACACATCAACTAGGGAGTGAACAAGACAGCATCTCACAGTAAGATAATGTTGCACATCAATCAGGAAAGAAGCAAGTGCCATTGTGTTACTGATTGTCTTTCCTAAATGATCACTTAGGCTAAACTTTACATTTTCCAAATAAAGGGGAAATTTCTTCTGGTTTTATTATATACAGAAAGAAAACAGAATTTTTTGTATCTTTTCTTTTTGGATTTTTTTTTGTTTGTTTGTTTTTTGAGATAGGGTTTCTCTGTGTAGTAGTCCTGGCTGTTTTGGAACTTGCTTTGCAGACCAGGCTGATCTTGAACTCACAGAGAAGCAAAGGCATGTACCACCATGCTTAGCTATATCTTTTCGTTATGCTAGAATAGTTAATAATTTAAACAATTGGATAAATGTGAAAACTAAATGAAAACGAATTTTTAGCAGTCAACTTAACCTCTTCATTAACTGAATGACTGATTGTGTCTCTCTGTTCAACTCTACAGTAACCCTTTCTGATGGTGGTAGCAATGCAGAGCACAGCTGCTGCAGGAAATCAGTCCCAACTGAATGAAGCTTTTAGCAGCGTGGGGGATAAAAAGAGCTCTCTGTCAGGCAGACCTGTTTGGGATGCTGAAAAGGAACTACCTCCTAAAAATGTTTTGTCCTTTGAATTAAGCAATAATTGAATACAGGTGAATCACATTTGAAAAACTTAAGCTGTTCACTTAAAACTTTATTTACTTAATACAGATGTACAAAAAAGGACAGAGGAGAAAGACAAAAACATGTGGAGGGCTATGACCCCGTCACAGCAGACTGTCCACATCTAGCTGCTGAGTTGTTCACTTCCTAGATATGGGACCTTCACACCCTTTGACACTAGAACAATCTGTTAAGCACATTTACAAAGAGAGGCAGCAAGGGACCATCATCCTGAACCATGTACTGAGTCAGGAAATCTGAGATCTAGCCTGGGCTCTGCCATTTACTAGCTGTGAGACTTTGGGCAAGTCACTTAATTGTCTGAACTTCAGTTTTGTTGTATTGTAAGCTGGCAGTAATAATCACAGTATCGATAGATCATCAGTATTAATGATTTTTTAGTTCTGGTAGCTGTATGCTTCTATCCCTACAGCTGTGGCCAACTTCAGTTCAATCTCCAATCATCTCTCACCTCAGCCACTTTAACTGCTTCTTAATGGTTTGGATCTGTTTGTTTTAACTTGTCCCTTCTAATCTCCAAGCAAAAGCCATACTGGTCTAAGCAGAATCATAAAACTCTCGGAAACATTCTGTGGTTCTGTTACCTACAGGCTGTAGATTAAAGCCTGCATCCGAGACTCCCCTGACCCAACAATGATGATCTCTTGTGGTTTAAATTGAAATATCCTGCACTGGCTCATAAGTCCTAGCACTTGGTCTCTGATTGGAGGTGGTATTTTGGAAGGTGGTGGAACCTTTAGGTGGCAGAGCCTTCATAGAAGCAGGTCACTAGGGATCGGCTCTGGGGTTTTAAAGATGGTCCTATTTCTTGACTACTGTCTTCTTCCTGACTGACACACCTCACTCTCCAACCCACACTACTGTGCACAAACTTATCATTCCCAGAGTGTGCCAAGGAGCTTTACTTCTCTGTGGCTTTGTGCCCTCTACTAGCTCTTCTGGCACATTTGTCCTCACAGTCCACCTGGCACATGGGTATTAAGTAATCAATCACAAGTTAGAGACTTGATTCTACTATGAAATCTTTGTCTCTGCCCATTCTCTGATCACATCATCCCACATAATTGACTATCCCGGTTTCTATGAGCCTTACAGGCCTCTGTACCTGGTTGCCTTGAATATCTTTCCAACAAATTCTGAGTTTCTAGAGAATAGGTACCTTATCTTATTGGTCTTTGTATTTTCATAGAATACTCCATGAAGTGCTCCACCCATACTTCTACACATTAGATGTTCTAATTTAATGTTTCTAAACCTTCCTAATGCTGCAACCCTTTAATTCACTTCCTCATGTTGTGGTGACCCCAACCATAAAATTATTCTTGTTGCTACTTCATAACTGTAATTTTGCTATTGTTATGAATCAAAATGCAAGTATTTGTGTTTTCCTGTGATGTTAGATGACCCCTGTGAAAGGATTTGTTTGACCCCAAAGGGGTTGCAACCTACAGGTTGAAAACCACTGTTCTATTTGGAAGAATGAGGGAGCATGTACCTTCTCTAAATTCTTAGAGTCTTTTGTTTGAGTTCATACATTCTGCAGCAAACAAACAAGCAAAGAAACCTCTCATAAGTGAGTAGCTAGCACAGGTCTATAGCTAGCACCATTAAAATTATAAAAATTACAAGAGGATGGGATGTTAACATTTAAAAGAACCTGAGATCATGTCACATGAAAAACTCTATGGCCTGGGGACATTAGCAAGTTGCCCAAGATCACACAGCCCACAGCAGTAGTAAAAAGAAATTTCACAGCTCGTCTTTCTGAAAGATGTATGTACCATGTATAAAAAATTCACTTTCAACAACAAGATTAAAAGTTGGAAAAACATGAAAAGATTTTACAAAAACATCATGAGCAGCCCAGGTGAGTGTAGCAAAAGTGGCAAGTTTCTCCATGGTCCCTTACTGTCTACGACAACAAGGACCTAGTCAAGTTACACTGCTGGGACCCTCACAGGTGCCCAGAAGTTCCCGTGGTGCCTTGGGCCTGGAGCTCACACTGCCCAGAGAACTCAACTCAGATCTTTCACCCACTGGCACACTTGGCCCACACCTTTCATCATCCAGAAAAATGATCCGAAAATAAGGCCAGAGCTCAAGATCAGGATGAAGGCAACAGAATATATCTAAAGTCAACCAGGTCTTCAAACATGTCAGACTGCTAATGGAAAGGAAAATCTGATCCTGGGGCCATCTGACTGTGTTTTGGGGTCTAATAGACATAATCAAGGGGCTCCTCAGCGCCTACCATAAAACAAACAGAGGAACCACACACAGGCCCTAGAATTTTCACTCATGTGTTTGAATCAGGCAGCCAGGTTAGGGTGTGAGACGCCTTTTAGTGCCATGATCCTTCATTACTGCCCTATGGGAATGGTTCATGTGTGTCTCCAACCCATGATTTTGCACCATCAGACATGTTCCTGCATGCTATAGGAACTGCTGCTGAGCCACCTGGGGGAGCCCAAGCCTAGGAGGTAGGATTTGGGGAAGAAAGGAAAGGGAATCTACCATTGTTACAAGATAACACATTCATAGGCCATAATACAGATGAGGAAAAATAGCTCTCCTACCATAAGCTGAATGCAGGAACTGAAACTCTGTTGGATAGAAATGTTAGTTGAAATTACCACTAAGAATTTGTGCAAAGTTGTACATATTGCAGTTACATAACAGACTTGTTTCAAGATAGCAGTTCCCCCCAGGCTGAATAAGAAGCAGTGAATGGAGAGAATGGGAAGTACCTCCCCCTGGAAAGGGTGACAGACTTGCCATCCAGCAAAGTTTATTAGTTGCAAAGAAGTACCTACCTCCCTAAATGCCACAGGATCTTCCAGAGAATGGACCAAAAATTGTCTGGATATGAGCAGGCACAAGGTCCTACTCTTTGCTTGTCCATATTAAGACCATTTCAATTCTCCCAAGAACTGCTGAGGGATTTCAGGCATGACAGAGACTTTAGAATGAAGGCTCAGGGGATAATCATGGCCATCACAGGCCTCTCAGAGAGACATTCCACCTAGGATAATGTTATGCTGTACAAGGAACATGGCTATGGGGTCAGACAAATGGGTTTGAATCTCAGATACATGGCATTTTAAATCTAATTTTGAAAGTTACTTAATGTTCTCTGAGCTAAACTGGAGGCAAGAAACTCTAGCTTACAAGAAAAAGGTAAAAAGGCACATTGGCACATTTGTAACTTGCCTTTCACAGAGCTTCAATGTGCAGGTGTTTAGAAACAGATTATTTTCCCCCAAGTCTGTAATAACCAAAATGGGAATGGGAAAACTATAAGCATACTTCAGTGGCATTGTAATTCAAACGAGACAAGAGATGAGGACATACTTCCTATAAGAGAGTTTTGACATTAGTCTATTTATCCTTTTCGCTTTCAAGTTTCTATTATCAGGAACATGTTATCCCTTTGCTCCCTGGATCCTGAAAAAGAAGTCTTGGCCAGCTTTTGCCTCCTGTGAAGTTAAATTGATAAGTACTTGGGAAGGAGCCCAGGTACCCACATAGCTTTCAGAACCAATGAGAGAATCATTTAGCCCGCCTATGCATTCTATATGAGGAAATGGTAGAAAGTCCTGTCTGGATGGGGGAAGCAGGTCATGGGTGTACCCTTCAGGGCTGCATCTTGCCCAGGCTCCATTGTATTACTACTCTCTACTTCCTGTTAGCTGTGAAGTGAACAGCTCCCTTCTGCCACACATTCCTAGCACCATAATGTTCTCAAGCACATGGAACCAAGAGACTATGAGCTGAACCTTGTGAAATGGTGAAATAAAACGTATTTCCCTTCTTTTGAGTACTCTTCCCAGGTGTTTTGATCATAGTGGAACAAAAGTAACTAATAATGCAGGACACATCTATTACTATTACTTTGTTTGGGGGGTTGTCAGGTTCTTGTGTAGCTATTTTTGATTTGCTATGCAGCACAGGATACATTTTGATCCTCTGCTTCTAGTTCCCAAGTATTGAGATTACAGATGTTCACCACCATGCCTGCCTAGAATAGTCCACAGCTGTATAAACAAGACAAAAGAAAAATAAATGAGGGAGCTGCCTGTAACTTCACAGCATGTCTGTAATATGATAATAATTCCAGGGCTCAAATATAGGTCTACAAACACAGCCCATGTTCTTTTCTGTCTTAAACACCTTAGAAGAAAGAGATGACTATAGAATCAATACTAGATTGGCACAGAAAAGCATAGAACAGGAAATCTGCCCAAGATTCTAATCTATAAGCTATTGTCAGTAACAGGTAATGTGGGACAGAACAGCTCTTCTTCAGGATGTCTTAATCACAAAGGAGGTTGAATTAAAGAATCCCTGGGAGCTTTTCAATTCCATAATATTCACTAAATAAGAAAATGGAGGAGAGAATGTGACATTTAAGGTCTTTCCAAATTTGTTCCTTGTAGTCTGTAGTTCAGATTCATCCAGTCCCTCTGAGTCTATGCTTCAATCACCCTGCTAGTTCTAGGCTCAGCAGCCAGGTTCCACACCTCTGCCATGCCTTTACGAGCATGCTCTGCCTGTAATGTGCCCTCCTCCCCTGTGTGCCTCCAAAGGCACCTCCTACTTCTGCCTCAAGTCTTTACTGTTAGTTCCTTTGTGAAGTTCCCCCTACTATCACCTCCAGGTAGATTGTGGTTCTACCTCTGCTCTAATATGTGTTCTTTCATATTACTTACTATTTGTAATACAACTCATTTATTAATAAACCAGGATCCAAAATTAACTATGAGTTCCTTCAGGCAAAGATGACAATGTTTACTTTTTCTATCCCAGTATAGATAGAGGACATTCAATAAATGTTTAGTGAGTAAATAAAGAACTTATGTAAAATCACCTGCAGCCCTGAGGAAAGTGGTTACATGTGATTTCAGAAAGGTGAGGTGACTTGTCCAAGGCTGTATACTAAGGGAAAAGACTAATCATGATTCAAACCCAGGATTTCCAAACCATAGAGCCCATTCCTTCGTCTTGATCATGGGTGTTGAACGTTAACTGAGTCCAGGATTTAGATCAGTGGTTAAAACACCAGTAATGCTCCTGGCCCCAAAATAGGAAGAAAAAAAGATCCTTTCATATTTTCTTTCACTAGCTTTTTTTTGCAGGGGTGTGGGGGTTCTTTCTTATTATGCGCCCAAGCTGACCTCAGACTTGTGGCCTCAGCCTCAGTGTATGCCATCATGCCTAGCACCTCTTCAGTATTTCAAACCCATTTCAATCTCTCTGTTCAAGAAGTGTTATATGTCTTCTATTTCTGAAAAAAACAAGTAAATTGTCTCAGCCTGTAAAAAGAACCTTTACTCTGGTGGCAAGTCTCTCACTCTATTCCAAATTTACACCCCAGAAGAGGGAGGGAAGGAGAAGGAAGGGGAATGGAAGGAGGTAAAGAGAGAGAGGGAGGGAGAGAGAGAGAGAGAGAGAGAGAGAGAGAGAGAGAGAGAGAGAGAGAGAGAGAGAGAGAGAGAGAGAGAGAGAGAGAGAGAGAGAGAGAGAGAGAGAGATTCCAATGGCAGCCTCAGGCAAGACTGAGTAAAAATTAATTTGAACATTGCTTGAGAGAGATGAAGCAGTTCTACGAGGTGGAAGCATGTCTCATATATTCTAGCAGAGGAGAAAGGGGCCACCCTCAAGTCCCAGGGAGCATGAAGGAGACTCTACTCCCACTCCCAATATGAGATTGTTCTGTCCCAGTTCCCAGAGAAGATTCCAAAGAGAATCAAGCCAGAACTGGCTGACTCCAGGACAGTCACAAGGGAAGGACTGACTGGTGGATTTGTTTTTACAAATGAAGGCTGATTTCCACCCTCTTCACCATGGTTGCTCCCACCCATTGCTTACCTGGAGCATAACTGGGGCTATTGGTCGGGTACAGGCTGGGATTGTAGGCAGGGGCAGCTGCTGGGTAGGCTGTGGGGTAACCTACAAAGACATATAAGAAAAGCCTCAGTTAGACATGGGGACTAGGGAGGCGTGGCTTTCGGTATTTTTATAGACTATTTCTGACTGTATAAACAGCTTTCAAACTTTCAAGAGAAAAGTCCCCAAATATGCAACCCTATTTAAAAAAAACAATACATGCAATATGTTTATATCCTCACTGTAGAATGGGAGAAATAGTACAGACATTCATACAATAAAGCATATACAACACATTCCTGATACAACATTACTTACTCTCTTCCCAAAAGGTAACCCCTTCAGCACTAACAGTTTTGGTACCTGTTTTGTTCATACAGTTTACTTTTATTATTATCATATTTATTTTGTGTATATACATACATGAAGGCATATACTTTTACCCACTGAGCCATCTTACTGGCCCCCAGATAGTTTTCAATATATTCTCTTTTTAAAAAAAAGTTCTACTTAACAAAGATTTTATATGTGTACACCAATGTGTGCGGGCATGAATGTACATGCACACTCACACCACTGCATAGGTGTGGAGGTCGAGGTCAAAGAAAAACTTGGTAGAGTCAATTCTCTCCTTTCTGCTATGTGTGGAATCCAGAGATCAAACTCAGGTCACCAGGTTTGTGTGGCAAGTGCTTTTAATCCACTGAACCATCTAGCCAGCCCTATATACTGTTTTATGGTTTTGAAATTCCCTAATGTACTAAATAAAAACTTTGTCATTTTAACCACTTGTAATGGTTTAAATGCTTAATGTCCCTTCACAGGTTTATGTGTTTGACACCTAGTCCCCCTTTGTTAGCACTGTTCTGGGAGGGTGTAGAACCTAGGAGACACCATAAGCCACCAGGAGAGGCAGGCCTTGAGGGTTATAACTTGGCTCTGCCTCACATACCTTCTTGGTTTCCTATCTGCTGCCATCTGCAAACAAATACAAGCTCTGCCCTCACGGATCGTGCCAAAACACCATGCCTTCACTGCCATGATGGACTGTTCCTTGAAGCCATGGGGTAACATAAATCCCCCTTAAGCTATTTCTCTGAGGTAGTTTGTCACAGTGATCAGAAAAGTAACTCATATACTATTTGGGCAATTCAGAACACTTCATTACTTTCTTAGTGCTATACAACTGCCCTCTGTATGTTCCTAAAACATTTCTGCCATCTAAAATAGAAGCTCTGTAACCACTGGAAATCCCAAGCCTCTAGTCCTCACTGGTAATCTAATCTACTTTTAAAAAGTTATTTCTAAAATTCATTTCTAAGGGAATAATCAGAGTCTGTATTGGAAAGATGGCTTAATGGTTATAAGCACTGGCTGCTCTGTTAATTGATCTGGGTTCAGTTCCTAGCACCTACATGGCAGCTCACAACCATTTATAACTATGACATTTCTTCTGGCCTCTGTGGGCACCAGGCATATACATGATGCAAATACATACATGCACGCAAAGTAACTACTTACATAAAAACAAATAAAAAAATTTGAAAAAAAGTGTTTCAAAGATTTTTTAAGTTGCCCCCTTTTAAAACTTTTACTTATATATTTTTAAATGTATACTCTAATTAAATTAAAATCATTTGAACATTAAAAAACTGACACTGAGCCAGGCAGTGACACCTTTAATCCCAGCACTTGGGAGGCAGGAGCAGTCTGATCTCTGAGTTCCAGGCCAGCTTAGTCTACAAAGTGAGGTTCAGGGCAGCCAGGGCTACACAGAGAAACTCTGTCTCAGAAAACAAAAACAAAAACAAAAAACAAAAAACAAAAAAAAAAACAAAAAGAAAGAAAGAAGAAATGCATTGGAGTTAGATCACTGGTAAAGTACACTGAGAAAAATCCATATCCAAAAGGCTTGAAGGAAACTACATGTGATAACAAGTAGACAGTGGGGGGAAAGAGCATTTTAGATTAAAAACAAAACAAAACAACAACAACAACAAAAACCACTCAGTGCAGAGGCCTTAAGTTGGGAAGTGTATTTATTTCCTCTTTGCTGTAGCAAAATATCTCAGAAAAATAGCTTAAGGAAGGGTTAATCAGGGCTCACAGTTTAAGGGTACCATCCTTCAGTGTGGGGAGGTCCTGGCAGCAGGACAGTGAGGCAGCTGGTCACATTTGCATGCAGAGAGATGACACTGGTAGTTGACTTGCCTTGTACTTTTTATTCAGACAAGATCTTGTGATGTCACCCAGTCAGAATACCTCTTCCCATCTCAACTAAGCCAGTCTAGAAACACCCTCAGGGAGCTTTGTCTCTTACATGGATTCTATTTCCTACCAAGCTGGCAATTATGAAAATAGGGCTCAGACCAGGACAACAGTGAGGAGTGGTAAGAATGACCCTGGGGAAAGTCCTCACATACTTTACCACGATACATCCAATAAGGCAATCAAACTCAACTTGCAATAGCAGTGTATTAGTGCCCACCTAACTACTCCCTGCAATTTTTAGCCCTAACTGGTATTCTGACTAACAATGAAAAGCTAGTTTTAAAAGTCAAAGATTAACTCCCTAAATCCCTAAAAGCTTCTTTGGGATCTGTAAGTACTAGAGCTTTAATAATGTATCTTTGTTAATATGCTGTTACATAAATCCTTTGAATTCCAAAGAAAATTCATGGCTCTACCTTGATCTGCTTTAGAACTGAAGTAGCCAACTTGTCACTTAATTACCAATCTAGAGATGTGCCACTTCTCAAGAAGAGAATCAAGGGATGTAATCTGGGAAGCTAAGAGATTGTATGCCACAGACAACTATGTTTCTATTATGTTATTTTCAGATGACTTTTACTTTAGAGGAAAGTTACAGGATCATCCTTCAATGTTTCTTTCTTTATATTTATTTATTTACTGACAGGGTCTCACTATGTAGCTCTGGCTGTCTTGAAACTCACTATGTAGACCAGGCTGGCCTCAAACTTAAAGAGATCCATCTGCCTCTGCCTCCGAGTGCTGGGATTAAAGGCATGCACCACCACAAATACCTAAATCCTTCAATGTTTCTAATTAAGAGTTATTAACCCATGGTATCCCAGGCTGTCTTGGAATTCATGATTTTCTTGCCTCAGCCTTCTGAAAGCAATATAAATAGAAATGGTAAGAAATAAAATACTAGAATGTGTACCTCCTCCCACCGCTTGTGCCCACATTTGAGGATACACACACTTGTGTGTGTGTGTGTACACACGTGCACACAAGTATGTGCATATGTGTACCTATGTGTAGGTTCCAACAGAGGCCAGAAGGGGTTATCAGATCACATGGAGCTGGAGTTATAAGTATTTGTGAGCAACCAGATGTAGATGATGGGAATTAAAATTCTGGTCATCTGGAAGAACACTAAGTGCTTGTAATCACTGAATTATTTCTCCAGCCCCTTTTAAATAAAAAAAATATGAATGTATGTGTTTGTGGTATATGCTTTTGTGCTTGTGCCACAGATGTATGTGGAGGTTAGAAGATGGCTTTAAGGAGTCAGTTCTCTTTCATTCCACCATGTGGACCACAGGAATAAAAGTCCTGTCTCTACTCTTGACTACATGGAGTACCTTCACCCATTATGCTATCTCACTGGCCCAGCACTGGAAGTCTTAATGATAACATTAGGTAAGAGAAGTAAAAGATGTCCAAATAATAAAAACAGAGCCAAATGATCACTGTTTGCAGGAGATGTGACTATAAATAGAAAACAAAACACCAAAAGACTATAGTAGAGATTTAAAAATGAATTCAGTAAAAATTTCAGTGCATAAAAATCAACATATAAAATTTAGTAGCATTTTGATACAAGAGTAGTATACTTGCTGGAAATGAAATCAAGAAAGCAATCTCATTCACAACAGCTACAAAAATAGAAAATAGGAGGCTGATCATCCTTTAGCTCTGTAACTCTGGGTCCAGCTAGCTGGAGTAGGCAGTGTAACAACACAAACAGCAAGAAGGATCATGCCAAGTGACCTTCACATACACAAAGTCAGTAGCTCTTGTGCTCCCACACTCTCCTCTATACATCACTACACACACACACACACACACACACTCTCACATGCACGCACACAGACACACTCACACACACACTCACACGCACGCACACAGACACACTCACTCACACACGCACACTCACACACACTTTAAAAGTGAAAATGACAGGCTGGAGAGATGGCTCAGAGGTTAAAAGCACTGGCTGTTCTTCCAAAGGTCCTGAGTTCAATTCCCAGCAACCACATGGCAGCTCACAACCATCTGTAATGACATCTGGCACCCCCTTCTGGCCTGCAGACATACATGCAGGTAGAAAAGTATATACATAATAAATAAATCTTTAAAAAAAAGTGAAAATGACTATTGTATCCTCAATGCAAAGACTTCTGCCTTTAAAAAACAAAACAAAACCCCTTTTTATTATTTCAAAATAAAAGAGAGCAAGAAAAAAGACATAATTCAGAATCTCTATTGTGTTCTGGCTGGGCATATCTTTACTGATTTAATCTCCAACTCAACTTTACAAAATGTATTATTAGCTCCATTATAACATAAAAAATGAAAGACCCAGAGACTGATATTGGGGCTCAAACTTCAAGCTGAAGAACAGGAACTAGCTCTCACCTCAAGCTCAGGCTGAAAGGGCTGATACACACACAAGCTCTTCACCAAGTCTCAAACTGCTGCTTCTCCTCAGCATGGCTGGAGAATCCTGAGACTTCAATGTCTTTCTATCCTCCTTGACACTGAGCCTTCCTATCTTCAGTATGGCTGGAGAATGAATGCCTTTACTAACTACTGAAGACTCTGCATCTATCTTTTATACCTCTCTAGTGCTGGGATTAAAGGCATGAGTTCTGTTATTCTTTTATACTGTTTCAATCTCGTGTATTTAGAGAAATCCGTACCATCACCGCTAGCTGGGATTAAAGGTATGTACCTGGCTTCTATGGCTTGTGGCTGACTTTGCTTTCTGAATCCTGAGGCACGCTTTAATAAATCATAAATAATATATCACTACA